CCACTATTCTGGGGCCAACTCCAAGTACTATTTTTTCTCTTTTCTTTTTATTATTCTGTGTGTGGGGTGTGCGTGCATGTGTGTGTGTGTGTGTGTGTGTGTGTGTGTGTGTGTCCAAAGTTTACCACAGGTTTATAAGGTTTTGAGGCCTGCCTTGGTGGCTCCCAGCCACCAAACCTGTCCATATTTACACAGGCTCCAGAGATCTGAATCCTGCTCCTCATGCTTGCTAGGCAAGCACTTTCTCTGTCGAGCTATCCCCCTAGCTCTTTCTGTTCTTTGAAAAGGCTTTTATTCCTGACATTGGAGAGGCTGCAAGGAAGCAGATAAATTCAAGGCTAGCCTGGGCAATTTGGTGAGACTCTATTTCAAAAATGAGAAGTAACAAGAAAGCTGAGGCTGAAGCCATCACACACAAGGCCCCTGGGTTCAGTTCCCAAAACTGAAAACAATTTTTAAAAAAGGAGTAAACTGGGCCCGGCATGCTGATACACAGTCATAACCCGGCACTCAGAAAACCTCAGGGCTACAGAAAAACCTTAGTTCAAGGCCGACTACCCAGTGGGACCCTCATCTGAGAAAGGGGGATAAAATAAAAATAGTAACAACCACAAAAATGAAAGGAGGAAATGGATGGATGTGTAGTGTGCTCAGTGTTAGTGTTTGCCTAGTATATACAAGGTCCTAACTTCAGTTCCCAGCACCCAGAGGGGCGGGTGGAGCAGAGGGAGAGAGAAATAGGGAGTGAAAAGGCAATCTTTCTAACGTGCTTCCTTCAGCGTTCAAGAAAAGATGTAGATAGAGGAGAAAGTGAAACAATAAGCTGGATGATGGCACACACCTTTAATCTCAGTGCTCAGGAGGCAGAGACAAGCAGATCTCTGTGAGTTCAAAGCCAGCCTGGTCTAGAGTTCCAGGACAGGCAGGGCTGTTACACACGCACACAGGCACACACACTGTCGGTGGAGGGTGGGGGGAGTTTCTCAACAAATATGGTGGCGCACATTGTGACCCCAGCATTTGAGAGGCAGAAGCAGTAGGATCAGATGTTAAAGGCCAGCCTTAATTCATACCAAGTTCCAGTGGAGGTCTTGGATCTCTCATGCTGTGACCTATTCAGCCTAAAATTGACCTGCCTGGGGTGACCAATGATGGAGAGAGAAGAGCAGGGCCTTTATCAAGCATGACACAAAGGAGAAAGAGGGGCTTTAGCTAATAATCTCTGAGGGGGTCTCTGTAAGGAGCAGACTCAGGTGCAGGCATCTTGAAGGGAGCTGTTGATATTTTCTGCATATACTGTCAACATCTGTACTTCTACAAAAATAAAGCCTTGCCATCCCTCTGAGATGGCGGGAGACCGTGCCATTCCCACGGGTCTGTGGCACCCAGCTGTGTTCTCTTCGACAATACACAGTCACTCAGGACTTTGTGGCTTCCCCTCTTATGCTTGTTGACTCAAGGGTTGAGACCCACCTGGGTTACTGAGTGAAGCCCTGTCTCAAAATAATAATAATAGCTGGGCAGTGGTGGCACATGCCTTTAAACCACAGGAACTCTGTGTTAACAAGCTTTTCAAGTGGCTCCAATGCTCACCAGTGCTTGAGAGCCAGTGGTGTGGAGGAATGCTCTCAGGGGGCCTGGGTTCTCTTGCTGGTTTAGCGCAGCAGCTTTCTCATCAACCACAGTTGAATCCCTAAATCCCTCATTCTCCACTGAGCATAACAAGGAGTTTGGATGGATGCCTAGGGACCCACTGATCTACAGGTCTATGAAACACCAGAGGCAGAACGAAAGTGAGTAACGAGAGTCATTCATTCAATCCACAAGTATTCATAAACCCGACAGTATTCTTTCCATGTACTCAATCCATGACAGAAAGTTGCTTTTTAATTTAAAAAACAAACAAGCAAAAACTGTGGGACTAGAGAGATGACTCGTCGGTTAAAAGCACTGTCTGCCCTTCCAGAGGACCCAAGTTCAAATCCCAGCACCCACATGGCAGCTCACAGCTGTCTGTAGCCCGTACCAGGGGGGTCCTACACCCTCACTCAGATATATATATATACACAAAACACCAATGTACATAAAAATGAATAAAGTATAAATTTAAAAACCTGTAATATTTCTGACGACAAATTTACCCTTTCTCTGTCCACAAGATTCTCTTCTGGCATCTATTGGATTTGGAAACTGTGAGAAAGACCCAGAGGAATCAGATCACCTATTCCTCAGTGACTTTAATTTGTAAACTTTTTTTATATCAATTTCTTTTTATTCAAGACAAGTTTTCTCTGTCCTAGAACTCACCCTGTAGACCAAACTGGCCTCAAACTCACAGAGATCCGCCTACCTCTGCCTCCCCAAATGCTGGGATTAAAGGCATGGGCCATCAACCCCTGGCCTTGTGAACATTTTTGTTTTTGCTGAAGGGGCTTCAGGACTGAGGAGTCAGAAGACAAGCTAAATGGGATTGCCTATCCAATTAGAATGTTTGTACCTTCATACATCATCTCAGCAACAATGTTATTAGCGTTTCTTTTTGTATGCTTGTTTTCTGTGTGTCGTTTTTGTTATTATTTTTCTAGAAAATCTTAATTCCATCTAACCTTGATTGTTGTTTGAACCTAGCTCCACCCTTTATTGAACTTCCTGGTACCCTACCACGAAAACTCAGGGCACTGAGTGGGCTTGCTACTGGAGCATTCTAAAACAGAGTTTAAATATCTAAGTTAAGAAGTTTTAAGAAAAGACAAACAAAAAAGTCACCACCCTGGAACGCTTTTGATCTGACATTCACGTTTCACTGCTTTGCAAGAACAGGAGATGGCGCCATACGGCAGTGGAATGTCTCGGGTTAGGTGGGCTTTGGGCCAGGTGCAGGGTGAGAAGGCTTGGGAGCGGAAAGGGCAAAATCTAAACCAAAACTCGGGGTTTGAAAGAAACTGCCCCGAGGAAGTCATATAATTCAGTCACCTTTTCTTCTTTCTTCTCTTTTCCCTTTTCATATATTAATCCCTTTGCATCTACTTCAAACAGCTAGAAAGCTGTTCACAGTAACGCCAAAGAGCCAAACAAAAGTCAAGTCGGAGGAGGACCGTACTTTCTCCCTTTCCTTGTTGATTTGGGGGAGTCGGAACTCCGGGACAGGCTGCTTGCTCGGGTAGCCGAAACATTGACTAGGGGCAAAGATTTCTTTTGTGAAGCAGTGTTCAATTGTGCAGACAAAGTCTCCAAAAGCCCAACACCGACTGCTTTCCAGAAGAATCCCACATTTAAAAATTTTTAAATTCATAGAGAAGCCAGGAGGTGGCGCCAGGCGAGACGCACTTCCAGCATGGGACACTGAATCTCGGTCGCAGATGCTCCAGGAGAGCTCTGGCCTGACCCGGGTCATTCTATCTCTTCTTTTCTACCTTGTGAAATACGTATCTGTTCTCCCTCCCCCACCCCACCTCCTAATTAACTTCTAAAGAAGTCTTAACTTACATTTTACAACTTTTATTCTTCCTAGATGGGATGATTGGAACTTTGGAGGGACTTGAAGACGGAAACCTTTCCGTGGGGAATGAAGAATTCACAAAGCGATGAAAGCATTAAAAAAAATTAAATTAAATTAAAACAAAACAAAAAACCCAGCCTTACTCTGAAGCGCAGTCACGGGACAGAAAAGAGCTCAGAGCTGCTGTCTCCGCGGGAGTGATGACCAGGCCCATGCATTATTCTGTTCATTTGGCTTTTATCCTGTGCTCTTGTTTGGCTTCTGCTCCCTTTGTTTTGGCTATTTATTGCTACTTGTAAGGAGCAAGGAGGGCAGAAAGACCTCACGTACGTGCTTTTCTAGGCTAGTGAGTGAAGGGTATGGAGGAGAGAGACATTTCACCATCTAGCTTGAAATTATCTGTGGTTTTCACACTCACTAATGAGGGACTTAGGATGTACATTCCGATCGGGATTTCTAGTCCCGTGGGGGAGCGCACAACAGCTCACATTCCTGAGACGCCATGCAGCCTCCATGCTCCACTGGCTAACTCCACGGTGGCAGGTTTCACTCTGTCCCATTGGACCTGCTACGACCCTTTGTTGGGTGGGCGGGAAGCCCCTGGACTCCTCACCACCTCCCCTAGTCACATGGCCTCTCTCTGGCCCCTCCCCCTCTTTCTCTAGAGTCCGCCTTTTTCTCATGGTGACAGTAATTGTTTTCAGTCACCCATCGCCCCTCCTGCCCAGGCCTCTCTGCTAGGGGTCAGTGTCCTCTTCAGTGACAAAAGGCGCCCTAGATCTGGGCTCCCCGGGGAGGGAGGTGGCTGGGTCTGGTAGTTAGAATGCTGTCTCTCCCTGGTGCTGTGACAACCCCTCCCCCGCTGTGCACACAAATGGGCTTTATACGGCAAACAAAACCGCACCCCCACCCCAGGCTACACAGGCACGTGGACCTAAGCCTCATCAAGGGAAAGGGGTGGGAAGACAGCACGAAAGACAAATTCTCCTCGCTCCACTTCTTGATCTCCACAATCCAGACTTTAAACTTTGACTTCCCACTCCCCACTTGCGTCTCGAGCCCCCAAATTCTGTTCTACCTCTAAGTCTGAACTCTTTCTGGTCCCAACTAGCTCAAGTTCTCTTGAGTTTGGAAATAGGCTCCCAACCAGCTGTCCCACACCACCCAGGGATGTGCTCCTCAGGCAGGCGAATGAGAACACAGTGTCCTGGGAGAGAGGTGCGAAACCCCCCTTCCCTGCCCGAGAGTTCCAGGGGACACCATCGCAGCGGCAGTATAAATGGCAAAGGAAGAGCTCACACCAGCTGGGCTGAGCCAAGGCCAGGGCGCTGGGCTCCGCTGGGCCATCCTGCATGCCTAATCCGCTATTTAAGGAGCTGCTCGCTTGCAGCCCAGGCACCACCCCCCTCCTCACGTACACCGGTTCAGAGCCACCTTAAAAGCGGGAGGCAACTGTGAAGTTGCTGGCCAGTAAGTGGTGTGGAGACTTCGGAGGGACATACAGAGAGAGAGAGAGGAAGGAGAGAGAGATTTACCCTGGGATCCAGAAGTTCGTTCTAACCTGAGGAAAATCAAATCCCTGGAAAGCCTGCAGAGAGAAGAACTAAACGCCTGAAACTCCTCTCTCTCTCTCCCTCCCCACCTCTCTCCCCTAGCTCCCAAATTCCCGGTTCCCTGTGCACAACTGTGGAGATAATATGTTGTTCTTCGCTCTCCTGCTAAAGGTGACTTGGATCCTGGCTGCAGATGGGGGTAGGTACAATTGGGTCTGTGCTAATGTCCACACCATGTGTACTTAAGTGGGGGAGGAGGTGTAAAAGGACGCCTAGGGGCCCAGGAAAAAGGCAGGAGGGGCTCTAAGACTACGGAGGAGATCTCTCCTATTCTTTGCCTTTTCCTCTGTAGCCCAGCTAGTACTGCTATTGCTGTGGCAGGAGCGAGCTAGACAGGGCCAGTTGTGTGAATGCTCATGTGTAGGAAACTCGGCCAGCTACAGACTTCTGTGCAGCTCCTTCCCTACTGCCCTAGTCTCAGGCAGCCCTCCTGCCCTTTGTTCACACTGCTCGTTAGGGAGAGCAGGAGTGAGAAGAGAACATACTGCAAGGCTGCCCAATTCAGACCCTGATTCCCACCTGATCAGATGATAATCCCACTACCTGCCAAGGGGTACACAGAAACTAGCCAGTCCATTTCCCTGAAAGTAACACAGTGACTAGCCCTTTACAGTGTACTTTCAGAAGTGGGAGATAGGGTAAGACTATTGGAAAACGGTGTTCCTGGAGTGTAGGAACGCCTCAGGAATTCCCATACCTCTTTTTTGTTGCTTGTTGGCTTTGTTTTTGCGTCAGGGTCTCGTGTAGCCAGATTTGTCTCCAACTCACTATGCTGCTGAGTTAGTCTCTTGCTTCTGCTCTCCATCTGCATTACTTTGCCTGGCTTCTACACCCCGTTTTTGTGCTTCTCCTGTCTCATTCAGTACCCAGCACAAAGGTGAGGGATTAAGGTTTGTTGGAGGAACTAAGGGAGGAGAGGAGGATCCTGAGAGCAAGAGGCAGGAGGCAAATGGGGACCAAGGGAACCAAACGAAAACGGAGTCAAAAATCTTTTCTGTGAAGAAAAACGGAAAGAGGGAAACCATATGACTCGGCCCAGAGTGTTTAGCAGGAAGAACAAGCACCTTCCCAGAGCCAGGGCACTGGCTGACGTGGTACCCTGCTGACAGGGACTGAGTGGACGCCTCCAACCCCACTCCCGCTTTTTGCAGGTTTGTTTGGTTTTGGTTTTTGAAAACAGAGTTTCAGTGTAGCCCTGGCTGCCCTGGAAGAAACACCTGCCTCTGCCTCCTGAGTGCAGGGACTAAAGGTGAGGGCCACCATGTGCTGCCACTTGAGCTATTTTGCAGTTATTTGAGCTGCGGAATGGACCAGCTGGACAGACCAAGGATGAGAGCCAAAACATCTTTAAGTCCGAGCAGTTAAAGGAATAACAAAGAAGCTGGGCACTGTACCACATGCTTGTAAAACTAACATTCATGAGGCTGAGGCAGGATTGCCACAAGTTGTTGAGGTCACCCTGAACCACATAGCCAGTATGGACCACATAGCAAAACCTTGCCTCAAACAAACAAAATAAAGGACTGATAAAAATGAAAAGGAATTTAGGATCCCCCCCCCCCCCGTTTCTAGATTTAAATACTACAAGCCAATCTACAAATTGACTTCCTTTTCTCCTCCAAGCAGGTTAGCCACAGGGGGATAGTTAGATCCAGAGACCCCCCAGCTTTCTGGCCAGAGAGAATGCATGGGAGCCTAGCATGTGACGCGGCTGGCAGCTCTCCTCTCTATACACAATGCTTCACTTTCATCCTGTCCTTGCCAGCCTGGCTGCCTGTGCCCACCCACCCACCACCCTCAACCTAGAATAGACCCTAGCGTGACTCCTGCCTCCTTGAGCTGTCTGAGAGTGCAGGAGCCAAGGTTCATGATGCTGGGCAGCTTTCCTGTAGAGCTAGTAAGACCAGAAAGGAAGAAGTTGTCGTAGGTTCTGTGCCTTCACTGTTGGGTGGTGCATCAAGGCAAAGGACTTCTAGCCCCTCCTGTCACTCGGCACACTTAACATTTTTCCGTCCTTTTTTGTTCTCTATCCTTCTAAGCCCTCTGCCCACACCCTTACCCGACCCGACCCAATCTTCAAGTGTTACACTGGCTCCAGGTTAATTTTAGTCTCCTGGCGTTATCTCTTTCCATTGCTCCTCCCTCTTTACTCATTAACCAAGGGCACAGCCTGGCTTATTTTAAATAGGACCCCCGATCTTTCCACCGAGGTGTCCAGTTTCAGGACTTCACTTGGGAAGCGCTGGAGTGTAGGGGGAGAGAGCAGAAGGGGGGGGGCACTGAAGGGAGAGGAAAGCGGAGGCCAGGACACTGCCCCAGGCTGTGCTGTCCCACTGGCCTCAGTCCAAATCTCTCTCTTACAGGTCACCACTGGACATACGAAGGTGAGGGCACACCTCCCGTGCTCCTGGTCAACCGGAACTCCTTTCGTGCTGGGACTTGTCCTGGGGAGGAGGAACTTCCCTTGAGCTTCGCACACTGGCCCCTCTCCTGCATGACACCACACAGAACCAGCCCTGGGGTTTACACATGTGGCCACTAGACCCCATCTAATCATTAAATCCCTCATCTGCTGATTCAGGGGGGGAAAAAAAGGTCAACGAATCCTCTGTAAACCCATGTGGAAATGAAGAAAACTGGGTGGGGAGAGGCACAATGCGCTCGGCTGCCTTTCTTTTGCCCCCCTCCCCAAACAGTGCTACCCCCAACCTGACTGGACAGCCTGAGATCTGGATGAAGAGGCTGGCAGGGTATTGACTCTAGGGGCTGGAACTCAATCCCTTTGAACTTCTGATTAATGACCTATCTGGGGTCAAAGCAAGGTCCAGTGTTAGGGGGAGACATGAATGATAGAAAGGATATCTGAACCCTAAGACTACTTGATAGGGAACCCAGAGATACCTCATCTGCTTAGGGCCCCTTTCCCCCCTGACTCTACTCCAAGTATTCAGGCTTTCTGTATATTTCCTCTTCCCCCTCATTCAGCTTCATTGTTCTCAAACTACAGGTGAGTGAAAGCAACAACTCCCCCACTAATTAGGGAGCTGGAGAATCACCCCTGCTTCTGGGGAGGTGAGAGCGGCTGCAGCCTAGAGCGCAGTGGAGACCCCACCTCACCCAGCCCTACCCCATGTTAACTTATCCCTCCACCAGGCCCACATGGTCAGGACCACTGGCCAACCTCTTACCCTGAGTGTGGAGGCAATGCCCAGTCCCCTGTTGACATCCAGACAGACAGTGTGATATTTGACCCTGATCTGCCTGCTGTACAGCCCCATGGATATGACCAGCTTGGTACTGAGCCTTTGGATCTACACAATAATGGCCATACAGGTAAAAGACTCTACTCCAAGTAACTACAGGTTCTAGCTCAAGCCTTAAAGAGCCAGAGGGAACAGACGCATCTAACTTTTAAAGTCTCAGAATACTAATGAATGTGGACAAATGAAGTTCAGAGCCAGGCTGATGGTGGTATAGGGGGAGGCAAAGGCAGAGGCAGGTAAATCTGTGAGTTCAAGGCCAGCCTGGTCTATAGACCAGGGCAGCCAAGGCTACACAGAAAAACCCTGTCTAAAAAAAGATTCAGGCTCAATCAGGCATTGGTGGCACCAGCCTTTAATCCCAGCACTTGAGAGGCAGAGGCAGGTGGATCTCTATGAGTTCGAGGCCAGCCTGCTCTACAGAGCTAGTTCCAGGAGACAGGCTCTAAAGCAATACAGAGAAACCCTCTCAAAAAATGAGAGATTCAGCTCTTGCAGCTGAAGTGGGGTCGGATGTCTATGAAGTTCAATATGTAGGTTAGTGTCGTCACACTGATTAGGTCATCAGCAGAGAGACTACTTTGCTAGAAAAGTTATAGCCTGAGAGGAGCCAGGCAATTCTGGGAAGGAGAAATAAGAGGACAGCTAAGTCTCAAGCGGTGGCAACTGGCCACACCCCTCCACCAATCCTGCCTGTCTTTTGCTCCCAGTGCAGCTCTCCCTGCCCCACACCCCACACCTGGGTGGACTGCCCCGAAAATACACAGCAGCCCAGCTCCACCTGCACTGGGGTCAGAAAGGATCCCAAGAGGGCTCCGAGCACCAGATCAACAGTGAAGCCACTGCTGCAGAGGTACCAACTAGAACATGGGATACAGTTCAGTTGATATTGTAGAAAGGATGGGTCTGTACCCTTGAAAAGTCATACTGAAGGGACAAGGCAAAGCTTTGGGGGTAGAGACTTAGATTGGGGAATTTATGTAGTAACAAAAGTCAAAGTCCAGGAAAGAAGAAACATGAAGTAACCAACCCAGTTCCCTTCTGCCTTCCACAGCTCCATGTGGTCCATTATGACTCAGATTCCTACGGCAGCCTGAATGAAGCTGCTCAGAAGCCTCAGGGCCTGGCTGTCCTAGGCATCTTAATTGAGGTCAGTAACCCCTAACTCCTCAGATCTCTCTCCACCTTTTATTTACTTCCCTTAGGCCTGTTCTGTTGCTGGCCTCTCTGATATTTACCCCATGCACTCTTACTTCAAACAACATGCTTCTACCATACACTCCCTTTACAGGTGGGCGAGGCTGAGAATCCAGCTTATGATCACATTCTGAGTCACCTGCATGAAATAAGACATAAAGGTGAGCCCTAAAAACTTACAGTAAGAATTCAACTGCAGCCTGGACGTGGTGGTGCACGCCTTAAATCCAAGCACTCAGGAGGCAGAGGCAGGCAGATCTCTGTGAATTCCAGGCCAGCCTGGTCTACAAAGTGAGTTCCAGGACAGTCAGGACTGTTGTTACATAGAAAAACCCTGTCTGAAGAGTTCAACTTCAGAGAAACTTTCACAACCTGACCTAAGAGGCTTTGAGAGGAGGCAGAGTTGGCAGTGCATTCTGCCTAGAGGAACCCTGTCCAGGAAGGTCGACACTTGCTGTTACCCCTAGGTCAGACGACCTCAGTGCCTCCCTTCAGTGTGAGAGAGCTATTCCCCCAACAGCTGGAGCAGTTCTTCCGTTACAATGGCTCGCTCACAACTCCCCCCTGCCACCAGAGTGTACTCTGGACAGTCTTCAACAGGAAGGCCCAGATTTCAATGGGACAGGTGAGTGGTGAAGAGCTGCTTTAACATCAGACCCTTGCCCAGGCCCCAGAATGACATCTACACTCCTCTCCTCAGTTAGAAAAGCTCCAGGGGACACTGTTCTCCACAGAAGAAGAACCATCTGAGCCCCTCGTACAAAACTACAGAGCCCCCCAGCCTCTCAACCAGCGGACCATCGTTGCTTCTTTCATCCAAGGTGACCTGCAGGGCTCCCAAGAGATGGGAAACTGAGGAACTCAAAGGCATGAAATAGTCAAGCCCTGGGCAGGAAAAGGCCAAGGGAGGGTTCCCACATACTGAACTGGGAACCCCCCCTAGTCATGGTGCCAGGTCATTTTCCAGGTGTGGAAGCAAAAGCTCCCAAATGGGAAGATGTTCTGAAATTCCCCTAACCCAAGTTTTCTTCCTCTACAGTGGGACCATTGTACACCACAGGTAAGACAGCCCTGTATGGAAATGTGAATGGGTGTGAGCCCCAGGAAAAATGGAAAGGCTTAGTACCTGTTAACATCTTTATCTCCCCCAGGAGAGATGCTGGGTCTAGGTGTGGGAATCTTGGCTGGATGTCTCTCCATTCTGCTTGCTGTTTATTTCATTGCTCGAAAAATTAGGTAAGATCCTACTTTCTATCCCTGCAGTAGCTTATTTTCTATTAAAGAGTATTCTCAGAGGCTGGGTAGTGGTGGTGCACATCTTTAATCCCCGCATATGGGAGGCAGAGGCAGGAGGATCACTGAGTTCAAAGCCAGCCTGGTCTTTTAGAGTGAGTTCCAGGACAGCCAGGACTAACTCTGTCTGAAAAAATAAAACAAAAAACAAAAAAAAAAAAAAAAAAAAAAAAAAAATGCATTCTCTGTCTGGCATGATAGTACACACCTTTAATCCTAACATATGGGAGGCAGAAGCAGGAGGATCTCTGTGAGTTTAAGGGCAGCCTGATCTACATAGTGAGTTTCAAGACAGCCAGAGCAGAGGCTACAGCTCAGTTGATGGGAGTGCTTGCCTGGCATGCACAAAGCCTTGGTTTTGATCTCTAGCACCACATTTAAACCTGGCATGCTGGCACACTTGTAATCCCAATACTCAAGAGGTGGAAGAAGGAGAAAATTTAAGGTCATAATCAGATACATATAGAGTTAAGAAAAAAAAGTGTTACTGTTCTATCCTAACCTTTACTTAGGACACTATAGTCACTCCCATGAACCATTGCTTCCCCTTCCAGGAAGAAGAGGCTAGGAAACAGGAAGAGTGTGGTCTTCACTTCAGCACGGGCTACCACAGAGGCTTAAACTCTGTCTCAAGATGCCATGAACGCCTTCCCTCATACCTGTCAAGGAGCCTCTCTAAGAGGTGCAGGGACTAAACTACCAGTAGTAGGCAGACACATGTCCTTCTAAACACCACCTCCCCCCTCATACACCAGAGAAGCAAGGACCCAGTTTAAGAATGAGCAGAGCCTTTGGCCTTTCAAATCATGCAGGTCAGGAGGCCCCTGCTTTAACGTTTAGCTATGAAGAAGCTGACACCCCTCTTGGCCTTCCCTACGTATACCTAGATACATACACATATTTTTCCTCTAGGAAAAAGAACTGCTGCTAAGATTTTAGCCATGTTTTACTCAATGTATGTTTGAAAATTCAAGTTTCTGACCTTAATTCTGGCCTGTCTTTTGTGCCTTTCAAGGGTGGGAGAGTTCTTCTGTCCTCTAGGTGGTAGAGACAGACATAGAGAAAAAGAAAACTGGGGTACTACTCCTTGGATCCTATTACTAGACAAGGAAGAATCTACTTGTGGGAAAAGTTAGCCCACTTCCCACAAGCTAAGCCACCAACTGACCCTTCTGTCATCACACCAAAGCTACCAATGGTGAACGCTGGTTGCCAGGCTAGGTAGGAGGGTGGACCAGAGCCACTAGGGCTAGAAATCTTAATCCATTATCCCCTCTCTTAAAAGCCAAGTTCCCCCACAATTATAAAGTCCTTTTTATTAGTCAAAATCACAATCACCTTGATTAAAAGGATGGGACATCCCAACCTCAGAAAAATGATACAGTGATAGAAAACCTCCCCAGCCCTCCCACACCCCAATTAAAAACTAGAAAAATGTCTGCCCTCTTGGCCTGTGATGCCATGGTAGTCTGATTCCTCCAGGGGCACTGCCATGGAGTAGGCCAACCCCCACAACACCCTCCACTTCACCTTGGGGAGAGGAGGGGTGCTGATGGTCACGGACATTAAAACATAAGTTCCAGTGGTACCAGTTCCCAAACATGCACTTCCTTCCTTTTCCCCAGGGCCTGGGACCAGGGGGAAAAAGAAATAGAAATGAGCCATGATCAGCAGTTTCAGGAGCAAAAATACAGTCCAAGGGGGTTATGAGGTTCCTAATATACCTCCTCCCTCCCCCCACTTTAAAAAAAAAAGGCATTTCTGGGGTCTTTATCATACCAAAAATGGTTCCTTTCAGACCTGAGAAAAAGCCCATGATGTCCAGTCTGGGCAGGAGATATTGGAAAACTGAACTCATCTACCCTTGAGCCTCCAGTAATGTCACCACCAGGGCCATGGCTAACCTAGGTCCCTTTTCTTGGCAACCTGCACTGTCCAGAACTGGAGATGGAGAAATACAGGACGAGGAGATCGGGAGGGCACCCCAGGCCCAGGGGTCCCCCCCATGTTCCCTCAGTCCTCGGGTGGGATTCGCAGGGCAGAATACACCATCACCCGACTGTCCTCCTGCCGTCGGCCTGCAGAGGGGAAGCGGGGTGAGTCATGGGCAGGGTGAGACCAGAGCACTGACACACGGGGAGACCTGGATAAGGGGGGCTCCCCAGGTGGTGGGGAGAAATGCAGGTTCAAACCCCAGTCCCTGTAGGGCTGCACCCAGGCTGCTCCTGATAAAGCTTAGAGACTACAGGTCACAAATGGACAACGCCAAACCCGGAAGGTAGCGGGACACATCAGCGAGGAGACGGAGGATGTGGGCAATGGACCCGGGCTGGGGCTGGGTTCAGTCATGGGCAGTGGACAGGCAGATGGGATCTGTCGGGCGAGCAGTCCAGGTAGTCAGTCCTTACACGAAAGGCTGCGCTGGATACTTCGGAGGGAGCCTCCGGCTGTGATGAATGCCCAGAGCCCCATGGAAACAGTGACTGCATAGATGGGCAGCAGGCTGGCCTCATACCAGGGGTTCAGGAATGTCTGAGAATAAGGACAGAAAAGAGGTTAGATTCTCCCCCACCTAACCTAAATGGGTATATCCACTTTGTACCTCTGAGCAAACCTCCCCCAGACATCCTATTCAGACTCTGATGCTTCCCTTCGAAGCATCAACAGCTTGTAGTTAAGGGGAACTTTTGACTTTAGATTCCCTCAAAAGTTTCAGCTCCTCCTATTCACCTCAGGCCTTCTGAATTTGTCTGACTAAGCAAGTGAGACTCCTCCCCATAGCAAGTGGCCTAACTTGAGGCTGAGGTGACAGAACCTTGGAAACTCACCTTCCTGCCTCCACCCAAGGTAAGTTACCGATATGAAGTGAGAACACATACCCCATCCCACTCACCATGAAATGCTTTCTCCCTGACTCAGGCCCCTATCTCCAACTCACCAGTCCTGATGTCAGTAGGTGACTCCCAACTACCAGGCCCAAAGCCCAGTACCGTCTCCTCTCACAGGCATCAAAGAACACAACTCCCCAAAAGGTATGGAGCAGGATAATGGCTGCGGTCAGAAAGGCTGCAGGGAGGGAGATGGGGAGGAGATGCATCCCTGACCTCCTCCCAGCTTCCTGAGATGCTGAGCCAGAGGAGTCTCCCAGGGAAGGTCAATAAGACAGGTCGGGGCCAGGGATGGAAAGGGCATAAAGGAGAGATTAGAAGCGAGCCTTACCTGAAGTCAGGAAGTAATAGGGTGAGTCTCCATGGATCCCAACCACACCTGGCCCAAGTGCATCAGCCAAAATATTGATAACAGAGAAGACACCACTGATGATACCGAAGGACAGACCAGAAACTGGGGGGGGAGGGGGGAGGCGCTCATCAACATCCAAGATCACCACAGCATCATTACCAGTACCTCTCCCCCTTGCCCAGTGAAAATTCTACCATACCTACTCTCCCTCCAGACCGCCTCTCCTTGGATGTCAAGTATGAAGAAAAATACTTAGCACATGTGGATGTTTAGATAACCCTGAAAGGGAGGAAGGGGTATCCAGCTCCCTCCTCTGGTCCCTCTCCCTTGGCTCACCATAAGCCATCTGGCGGATGGAAATGGGTGATCTTCCGTCCTCACTCAGTGATGCTAAGCCCTCATCTGCCTTCCTGGGATAAAAAAAGAGGAAATATTAGGGCAGAGATGTTCCTTTACCTTTAATAACCCTTACTCCAACCACCATCCAAGGGCTGGTCCACTTCCTACAATGCACACCACTGTCCCCTCTCCCTTCCAGACCACCCTTTGTCCTTACTTAAGGAGCTTGTAGTAGGCAAATCGGAACACTTCCTGTAGAAGGACAGAAACAGCAGCACCAAATATCAGGAGGCCATACTGGAGCCGGGCATCTGACCGGTCTGTCACATGGACCAAGATGAACCAGACCACAGAAGCCAACAGCAGGGAGACCAGCCAGAAAAAGGCTCTGAGAAAACACAAGGGCAATGAGAGAGGCAAGGATAGGGGCAGCCAGAAAAATCAAGGAGAGAACCAGCCAAGGCTGTAGCATGAAAAGTGGAAGTTAGACTTCCGGATGGTCAGAAGACAGGGACCACATAGGATAAGTGTCTTCACCAACAGACTCATCTGTAGGAATCTGCAAGCAGCAGAAAGGGAAGAAATCTGGTTAGTTTTCAGTAAGATGAGAGTCAAAGTGTGTGGGCACAGACGGACGGGCAAAGTATCCATTCCTGGGTTCTCAGCTGGCTGAGGTCAGCACAGCCCCCTCACTGGTCTCGGCCTTGGGCCGTCTCTGACGTTGCCCGGAGGACTATGGGAGTAATCTGTGAAATCCCTGGAAGGCGGAAGCCGACTGCGGAAAACCGCCTAGACCAAGATTTGACCCTGTTCAACCTTTTCCTACTTCTGTTCCCCAACTCAGGCTCCCAAGCTTACCCCAGTCCCTCCAGCCCTTTCCGATTCATTTTCTCTACGCTTGGCCCCATCTCCACCAATCGCTACTCACCCCGCGACCAGGATGATAACCCGAAGAGGGTCTCCTGCCACAGTGATCAGGAAAAGGGCGAAGGCTGGGCCGAAAGCGACGAAGGTGCATCCGAAAAACACAGCAGCCCCCATGACTGGGCAGCTGGGGGCGGGAGGAAGCCCTGGCCAAGGGAGGCGAATGGGAATAGCGCGCCGGGGGATAGTCCGCGTGGGGCGGCGACGCAACCCCAGGAGGGGCGCGGTGCAATGTCACCCCCGGACCCCGGGGAAGGGGAAGGGGGGGCACTGAAACCCCGGACGAAGGTCCGCCCGACCTCGTCTACGGAAGCCGAAGAGGGAACAACCCCCGGTCGCTGCCCCATGGCCACCTCCCATCTAATCCCCACCCCCGGAAGGCCAATGAATACTTGATGGGACGAAACTGCAGAGGCGGGGTCGCGATAGCACGGCCTTCTGGGAGTTGTAGTCTGTCGAGCCTCAGGTCCCTTCACTTGGTGCTGGGCGTGGGTCCAGAAGAGTGGGTCGGGACTGGGCCCAATCAGGGCAAGGATTCCTGGATTTGCTTGTGCCTTGGCGACGGTTTCTTCTCATTACTATGGAGAAGGGTGATAACAACCCTACTTATTTCTAGAAGATCTTTGGCGGGGAGAAATCCTTTTTGAATCTAGAGACAGATAAAAAAAGAGCCCAGGATAGGGATTGTAGAAGGATAGAGACGGGCATTGTTCTTACTTGAATTAAAGGAAATGACCCAGAGAAGCACCCTAAGGGATCAAAGTTGAGCTTAAAATTTGGAGCGCTTTGAGCAGCCTCGTATGGGAATTATGTAGTACAGTCTGTCTCAAATGAAGACTTCACCTGTATTCTGCAATGACAGAAGCAGAGAAGCAAGAAGGGCCAGGAGAGAAATGTTGGGGAAAAGTTTAGAAAGAATCTAGGAGTCAAAAAGCAACTAGAGCAATGGGAAAGAGGGGAAATGACGCTCCCCCCACCCAGCTGCCTTTGATGTCACACTTCCTCTATTTATATTCTGAAAAATAAACTTGAGTGGTGTCTTTTCCTCAAAATGGGGAGAGGGATTTCATATTAAAACGAATCATCATTTGTCTGAGGACAGACTGGTCCTTACGGGATGCCTAAGCAAAGGAATCCTACAATGGGATCATATCTGAAAACTGTTTTTGAGAATGTAATCAAAGCAACAACAAACTACGAAATTGTTTGAAGAAAATCAGGCTTCCTGGAAATGATTTTGTTTGTTTGTTTGTTTGGTTGGTTGGTTGGTTGATTGGTTGATTGGTGTTTTGAGACAGGGTTTCTCTGTGTAGCTTTGGAGGCCTGTCCTAGAACTCCCTTTGTAGAACAAGCTGGCTTTGAACTCATAGAGATCCAACTGCCTCTGCCTCCCAAGTGCTAGGATTAAAGGCATGCATCACCATGCCCACTGTATGTGGGATTTTAAATATACTTTATTTTCTACATATATTTGCTTTATACGTTGTTTTACAAAATTAACAAAGCTCACAGATTTATGTCAAAATATAGGTAAATAATTGTCTGGAAATAATTTTTGTAGTCATATGTCATCTGACTTCTAATCTTTATTTGTTTTGGTTTAGTGTACGTATGTGGTTTTTTTGTTTATTTGGTTGATTTTGTTTGGTTTGGGTTTTTTTGCAACAGGATTTCTCTATGCAGCCCTGGCTATCCTAGAAGTCACTCTGTAGGTAGACAAGTCTGGCCTCAAACTCACAGAGGTCCACCGGCCTCTGCCTCCCAAATGGTGGGATCAAAGGGCCACAACGCCACACCTAGCACTGGTTTGTTTTTTAATTGTCTTGTCTGTGAGGTCTCAATTGCCTATAAGACTAAACTTAGTTCATTATGTCTAATAAATATACTATTACTTCTGAATTGAACTGAATGGAAATAGGAAATGCCAGAGCAGACAGAATGATAAGGAAGGTGCCATGTGTCTGAAAGTGGGAGACAGGCGTGACACCCAGCAGAGGGAAAGAGGGTATTTAATTCCTCTCTTCTCCCATCCTATGTCCAATAAGTTTCGGGGAAGGGGTGAGGTCAACCCAAAGTGGAGAGAAGTAAGTGGCTTTGGCTATTGTATTCAAGGGAGAGCAGTAAAGAAACTGCCAGCTTGACCACACCACTGGATGGTTAAGGTTTTATTAAGAGAGAGAGAATAGCCAGAGGCATCTGGAAGAATTCAGAAAAGAGAAAGAAGTAAACTGAACATGGCAAACAGACTAGACATGGCCAGGGCTATTTGCAAGAAGAGGGGAAAATAGTGGGGGACAGAGAATAGAGCCAGCATAGTGCGAATAGCAAAAGCCACAGAGAGTGAGAATAGCTGGGTTCTAAGAAGAATGCATGCATGGGGTGGGGGTGGGGAGTCCCTGAGCTGGTGAGAGTATGGTGTAGAAGAAGTGAGAAAGGCTAGAATGCTAGTGTGGACTTCGAAATGTGTAACAGGTTCTTGTGATGCTGAGGGAGCTTGGAGGCCAGCATAGGATTTGATAAACTGATAGATGCCACCAGTAGCCATGTGTCCCTTCTGACAGGGGGAAGGGAAATGACTCCATTTGTTATATGGGAACCAGTTTCACAAGTTCCTGTGGAATGCTGGCTTTTTATCTGACTTCCAGAAATACTCCTATAGTCCAGGATGAGCTCATTTCTGGATATATGAACTGCCTTTTGGAGGTGGGGAAATTGGAGCTTCCTTTGGACCTGACAGCTATGAGATTTTTATCGGCAGCAATGCAGAAGGAGATTTGGGAGTCAAACAATGGTTCATAAACATCACGCCCATCCTCTATAGCCAAGACAGGCAGAGAAGAGGCACAATTTATTTACTGTCTAGAAAAAGTCTTCAGCCCTTCCACACATCATTCCCACAGTGACAAAAGAGATTATGAGTAAAGAGCAACTGTGCATGGCAATGGTAAATGGTACGTTAAGGATTGCAAGTAGGAGGGTGATGGTGCACACCTTTAATCCCAGCACTCTCGAGGCAGAGACAGGAGGATCTCAGTGAGCTTGAGGCTAGGACAGCCTCCAAAGCTACAGAGAAACCCTGACTTGAAAAACAAAAAAAAAAAAAAAAAAAAAAAATATGGGGATTGGGAGTGAGGGAGGAGGGAAGATAAACTTTGACCCCAGTAGTGGAAGTCCTAATCTAGGGCTAGGGGCTGTCCAAGAGTAACAAGTTTGCATCCATCAGACAAGCTTGCCCCTCAGTCCAGCAGCTATAAAACAGATCTACTGAACAAGTAGGCGGAGAGTTCTATCCCCTGGGAGAAGAATCCCTGCTCCGTCCCAGCTTCACAGCAGAGGGGGAGGCGGAGTAAGTGCTGTGGGAAACAGTGCAATTTCCTCTTTTTACTTTCACAGCCATAGTGCCAGATCCAGAATGGATGTCTTCTTTATAGCCCTCCTTGTTGTGCCTCTTATCCTGGGTAAGTCTACTTCTGACCCTGAGCTTTGTACCAGTTCTTTATAAACGGAATGAGAGAAGAGATACAAAGAGAAGGTAAGTGGGCACATCAGCGGGCAGTGATGGTGCTTTCTCAGCTGCTGGAGTCCAGGGTTGGGGGCAAAGTAGAGATGTGGAAGGTGGAGCCAGGAAAAGCAAAAGGAAAGCAAACCGAAGTCCGTTCAGAGAAGAGTCCCAAACAGTTCTTCAGCAAGACCGAACTCAGATCTCTGTTACTGTCACTGCAAAAGCTGTGAGGAACAGTGAAGGAAAGAGGTGGGCTCTTAGAAGCCAGTGAGTAGGACTAGTGAGAGAAGCCAGAGTAGCTCCTTCCCACAAAGTAGAAGAGGAGGAAAAAAACAAAACAAAACAAAAAACTATTAGCAAAGACATAGGTATGAAAGCCAAGCTTGATGCCACATGCCCCCAGCTCTTGGAACATAGAGGGGAAAGGACCAAAACTTCAAGGTCAATCTTGACTACACAGTGAATTCCTGACTAGCCCCAGATTCAAAATAGGCCCCCTCAGCCAGGCATGGTGGCTCACACCTTTAGTCCCAGCACTCAGGCAAAGGCAGGCAAAACTGAATTCAGGCCAGCCTGCTCTCCAAAACAAGTTCCAGGACAGCCAGGGCTACACAGAGAAAGCCTGTCTCAAGTAAATAAATACCCCTATATCAAAAAACAAAAACCAAGCTGGGTGTGGTTGCTCACTCCTTTAATCCCAGCATTCTAGAGGCAGAGACAGGAAGATCTCTATGAGTTCTAAGCTGGTTAGGGTTGTATACTGAACCCCTGTCTTAAAAAGACATAAATATAGATTGGCTTATGACTGGCTGACTTTAGGGGCAGAGTCCCAAGAGTGGCTTGTCTCCTTCCCTTCTTTGTTCTCCAGACTGCCAGGTGTGTCTCATTGTTTCCCTTTCCTTTAAATCCTGTGTCCTTAGTTTGGGGTTGGTGGGATGTGTTTAGCAGAAGGCCTAGAATTCTGGATTCAATTATCAATGCCACACATTTTTAGTTTTGGAAGGGAAGAAATGCTATGATGATGGGTCATGGTCCAGCTGACTCATTTTAAGGAAGGGGATGTGAGGCCAGCTGTGGTGGTTCTGCCTTTAATCCTGGCATTTGGGAGGCAGACCTCTGTAAGTTCAAGGTTACATAGTGAGGTTCAAGGCAGCCAGGGATATGTAGAGAGCCCCTGACTCAAAAAAAAAAAAAAAAAAGTGTGGGGTTGTGGGGAATATAAATGGACTGGAAGTGAACCTAAATCTAAAAGCCTGAGATTGTTAGCGTTTGTGTGAGAGATGCTGATGAGATCTCCCCCAAGCATAAAAAATGTGGGAGCACAAGGAATGTATATGATTTTCTAAATTTCTAGTCTCTGTCTTCCGCTTATAAAGGGTTTACATCTCTCTTGGGGCTTAGAGTTTGAGAAGGGATCTGCTTTCTGTCCTGAGAGTTCCACATTGAAAGCAGAACTAGGAGTGAGCTGGGAGTCAGGAGACTGGGTGGGTTTGGAGGACCAGGGACAGGGAGATGAGACTTCTAGAGAGGAGGCAAGAAGGAAAAACAAACAAACAAACAAAACCCAGCAGATCTGGGATCAACTCCATGTGTGCTGTTGCTAAGGAGCTCCAGATGCTTTTGACCTGTAGCTCTTGTCCCTGCAGGACAGGAATACGAGGAAGAAGAAGAGCTTGAAGAGAGTGAATACTATGAAGTGGTATATTATTATCACACAATTACCCCTAATTATGGTGCGTATGAGAAAGGCTCTCACTCTTAGTGGGGTAGGAAGAGATTTAGGTAATACTTAATTCAAAGATTGCCCTTCACAAGAGGGCCAGACAAAATTTTGGCTGTGAGCAGAACCTATCAAGACTTTTGGTATTTTTTTTCTCAAGCTTGTAACTTCTTTTAAACTAAATTTTTTAAACTAAAAAATGTATGTGTATGAATATTTTGCCTGTATGTATGTCTGTGCACCATGTGTATGCCTGGTGCCTACAGAAGTCAGAAGAGAGCAACTGGAGTTCCAGATGGTTGTGGGCCAACAGGTAGGTGGTGGGAACTGAAGCCAGGTCCCCTGCAAGAGTAGCCAGTGCTCTTAACCTCTGTCTCTTCAGCCTCTTAAATTCATTATATTTATATTCTTTGGAAAATGTTTGGGATAATTTGGAAATTTTCCAATTTGTAACTAGACACTAGATTGACAACATAAATCTATATACAATTACCATTTAAAAAGATTAAGCCAGCTGTGATGATGCATGCTTTTAATCCCAGTGCTTGAAAGGCAAAGGGCTGTTGGATCTCTGTGTGTTCCAGGCTAGCCTGGTCTACAGAGTGACTTCCAGGACAGCTAAGGCTGTTAAACAGAGAAATCCCTGTCTCCAAAAACAAAAAAAGATTTAGTTTCCATTAGTATTTTAAATTATCTATATTGGAGGGGTGTGTACTTGCACATTAGTGGAGTTGCCATGGAGATCAGAGGTATCAAATCCCACTGGAGCTGAAGTTACGAGAGACTGAAAACTGCTCAGTATGGATTCTAGAAACTAAACTCAGGTCCTCTGAAAGAGAAATACATGCTCTTAACTGCTAAAGCCATCTTCCAGCTCCAACTCACAAACATTGTTAACACTAAAAATAACTAGAAGTGGTTTGTACCAATACATTTTATAACTTAGATAAGGTAAAGTATTCTGAACAGTTTCCTCCCCTTTTATTTCTCCAGATGACTTTAGTGCGAACTTCACTGTTGATTACTCCATGTTTGAGTCAGAGGATAGGTTGGTGAGTGACTGCCTTTTCTATCTAAGAGGGTCAGGATAACAGTCAATCAGAAACTGGGAAGTGCAGAAATGTAACTGATTAGCAAGAATGAAAATTGGGGCCAGGGCCGGGGCAGTGGTGGTGCATGCCTTTAGTCCCAGCACTCAGGAGGCAGAGGCAGGTGGATCTCTGTGAGTTCGAGACCAGCATGATCTACAAGAGCTAGTTCCAGGACAGCCTCCAAAGCCACAGAAAAACCCTGTCTCAAATGAATAAATAAATAAATAAATAAATAAAATATAAAAATTGGGGCTGGGTATGGTAGTCCACTCCTATAATCCCAGCACTTGGGATGCACAGGCAGGAGGTCAGCCTGGTCTACATAACAAATTCTAATCCAGCCAGGATTATTTAGTAAGACTGTCTCAGGAAAAAAGAAAACAAGTAAGAAAACCTGGTAGATAGAAACTAGGAAGTGGGGAAGCCAGAACCTAGTAGGCTTACTAACACATGAAATCAAGGGACTTGTTGAATGGAATACATACATAATCCATGCTATCACTGGGCTCAGATAATCCTGATCTTAAATTTTAGTCATGTGGTGCTTGAAGGAAAAGATGAAAAACCCTAATAGAGCATCTGTGGGGATATTAGATGGAAGAAATGATAACTGTTTCCCAATCCTACGGAGGTCAGAACAGATTGGAGACGGAGGTAACAACGGAAGCAGTAGAGACTACTATCAGTCTTCATACAGAACTTGTGGACCATCACAATCCTGTAACCATGACAACACCAGTGGCAACAGAACCAGTGAGTCAAACGGGGATTAAGGAGCAGGGAGATAAGACATCTCTTAGCCTGACAGATCCCAGGCCTAGTGACCTTGAATGAACAGAGGGTGGGTTTTGGTAAAGGGGAGGACACTGACAGAAATGACTTGGGGAGGAAAGGGTTTGCTTCATCTTACAGCTACCAGGACACATATCATCATTGAAGGAATCAGGGCAAGAAATGGAGCCAGGAGCAGAAGCGTACTTTGAAGGTGCGCTGCTTACTGGCTGGCTTCCATGGCTTGCTCAGCTTGCATTTTATATCACTCGCCCACAGCAGGGTGGTCCCTTCCATATCAATCATTAATCGAGGAAATTCCCCCAAGGATAGTCCCACAATCCTATCTGATGAAGACAATTCCTCAGATGAGGTTCCCTCTTCCCAGGTCACTCTAGTTTGTGTCAATGAACCAGCAGGACAGGTATCACACTTGTGCCACATCACATGTGTGGAGGCCAGAAGACTACTTTAGGGAGTCAGTTTGTCAGGCTTGAGTGGCACATGCTTTTACCTGCTGAGCCAGTCCAGATTTTGTTTTAGATACCTCTTAAGACGGACAGCTTTTGCTCACTCGGTAGGTGTTCTAAGAGGACAAACAAAATTAGGAAGAATAGCTGCTGCAGGAATGAAAGTGGCAGAGGGAAGGGAGCAGAACAAATAGTTATATTTGGTGACTCGGGTATGACGGAAGAAAGTTTACAGAGGGGAACAGCACAAATAAAAATATGTACAAGGGTTGTGCTGAAAAGGAAATTCAAGAAAGTTATCCCTATGTGGGGTTGGGGGACAGGAGGCTTCCTTGCAGGAGTGGGTGATGAAGAGAAAAACTCTAAAGATGCCATCTGTGGGGATGTTGGATGGAAGCAAGACCAGCCTGAATGATACAGCAAGACACCATGGTGGCACATGCTTTGAATCCCAGCACTCTAGAGGCAGAGGCAGGTGGATCTCTGTGAGTTCCAGGCCAGTTTGGTCTACACAGCAGATTCCAGGACAGCCAGATCTACATAGACTCTGTCTTAAAAAACTTTTTTGAGCAGTGAGATGGTTCATCAAACAAAGGCACTTGCTAACAAGCCTGAGGACCTGGGCCAAGTTTGATATCTAAAACCTGCCTGGTAGAAGGTTAGAAGAGATTCCAAGAGTTGTCCTTTGACCTCCCACCTAAATAAATAAATGTAAAAAAATTGCACAAGTCAATGGGCTTGGTGGTGCATGCTTTTAATCCCCATACTCGGGAGGCAGAGGCAGGCCGATCTCTGTGAGTACGAGATCAGCCTGGTCTACAAGAGCTAGTTCCAGGACAGGCTCCAAAGCTACACAAGGAAAACCTGACTTGAAAAACTGGAAAAAAATTGCACAAGACCTTCCTTTTTGTGTAGTAATATATACATCAAGTTAGGGGTAAATAGATAGTCTGAGATATCAGGCTGGGACTTTGGGCTGACAAGCAATAAGGAGCCTGGTAAGTCCTCCAGCAGGGTGACAAAAATGGAATCAAAATTTAGGAAAACTCTTCACCTGACTATATTCAAGATGCATAGTGGAAAAGTTTACACTGTCCCAGAAAAACCTGCTAAAGGACTGGACTAGGAGAGTGGTGTGTAAACCGAGAGCAGAAAAATAAGTTAGAAGAAAATGCATCTTTTCAGTGATAATTCTATAATGGAGAGTTAAAATAACTTACAGACTTTAACCATGTTTGGAGAGTACCAGAGAGATGGCTGAGAAGGTAAAGATGTCTGCCACCAAGATTATCTGAGTTTAATTCCCAGGATCCATGTGATGGGAAGAATAAACCCACTCCTTCATGTTGTCCTCTGACCTCTACACACATGTACTCACATAACACACATCGACAATGTACACATGAAACAAAACCTAATAAAGATGTTTGGGGAAATGGTTGACTAAAATGGGAACTATTGGAGGCCAGAGTGGCTTAAAAAGGAAGTGATAATTTTGACAGTCCTGTGTGGGTGTTCTGAAGGCAGCTGAGCTAGATCAGGAGTAGATACCTAAGGGCAAAGTTATTGTTGTGAAAGTAGAAAGGTCAATGACTAAGTCAGTAGAAGACTAGCAATCAACCAAGGAAATTGAAAGAGGCAGGCGGACAGCCAAATTGTGTTATAGGGACTAGAAGAGAAAGCTTGATATAATCAATCAAAAGCTACCAAGAGCCTAAAACCTATCTCAAAAATAAGAAAGGTACGTGTAGTGGTGCATGCTTTTAATCTCAGCACTCAGGAAGGAGGCAGAGGCAGGCAGATCTCTGTGAGTTTCAGTCTAGCCTGGTCTACAGAGTGAGTACTAGGAAAGCCAGAGCTATGTAGAAAGACCCTGTCTGAAAAAGCAAAACAATAAAAGAGGAGAGGAGAGTTGGGAATGTAGCTCATTGGCATTTGTAAGACTCTAGTTTTCATCTCTATGGTGGGGTGTGTGATGAACATTATGAGGAAATATCATAAATAATAGACCCATCTTAAAAATATGAATTTTTTTTAAAAAAAGGAATACCAATGGCTATAAAGGGCAAAGGGACCAAAAAGCAGCCTACATGCAGTTGAACACAAATGGGAGGAACCAGTAGGGCTGGCAAAGCCTGACAGTAAATATCCCACACATTTTTAAATGTATAGTAGGTTCTCTATAGATGGTAAGCCCCTCTTAAGCAAGGAACTATGTCTTATTTATAACCCCCCAAAGCACCTACCACATGACTAGCTCAAAGTCATGAACACAAAAGATGAAACATGGAATGTCATTCAGAGTTGTGGCCTCCCAAGTAGGAAGAGTTCTTTACAGTGCTAAGGTGGAAGCTGACCCTCCTTTGAGATCAGAGAGAAGGAAGAATGGGATTCGTGTAAAGGGGTGGCTATCTTCCTGGAAGAGGAATGGGATCTTCTAGGAAGGGTGACAATGACCTGTTGTGTGTGTGGGGGGGTGTTTTATCAGAGTCCAGATCAGAATGATGCCATGTCCAGTCTGCAGAGTTCTGTGTCCTGTCTTCTCTTATGGACCCTCCTTCAAGGAGGGATGCATTTTATGTAGAAGGTAAGAGGGCAGCCACTGGCTTTGGTGGGAGTGCTATGAAGTAATTCTTACCAACATGCTCAGGCCTCCTATGCTTAAGGAAAGAAGTGGGATCACATTTAGAAACTTCTAATTTTCTAATCTTGAAGAAATTTGGAATAAATTTTCTGATGTCTTTTTTTTTTTTTTTTTTTAAATATTCTGATCTCCTAGGACTTTCAAGACCTCCTAGGAGAGAGGTGGGTTGAATGGAGAAGCCTTTTCCAAGTTTCCAACAAGTCTGGAAAAAGTCAAGGCTGATTCCATTCTGACCATGTTTGAAGTTATGGCAGGTGCCTTACAACCCTGTAGAGCCAAAAGACAAAGTTTAGCAGAAGGAGGAAGGAGGCATGAGAGGGACCCATCTTTCTCAACAAAGAATGTTGAATCCATCTCAGAACATGAAATCTGTGGGGTTTGCATAAAGATGGTCTCTTGTTATTGTTTCTTAGATTTATGTTTTTCATTATGTGTATGTCTAGAGGAGGGTTATATATACATGAATGGGTGATTAGTAGGCCACAGGCACCAGAGCTTTGGAAATGGGAGTTACAGGGATTTGGAAACCACCTGACTGAGTTCATGGAATTGAATTTAGCTGGCCAATTGTCAATTGTCGGTGGTGGCACATGCTTTTAATCCCAACACTTGAACACTTGAGAGGCAGAGACAGACAGATCTCTGTGATTTTAAAGCCAGCCTGGTTTACAAATCTAGTTCCAGAACAGCCAGAGCTGCACCAAAATCCTATGTTAAACAAAACAAAAAGCAGTGTGTCCTCTTAAACACCGAGTTACTCACCTGATCCTGTTTTTATTCCCCCTCCCTCCAGGTGAGAGAAGTCTACTATGACTCTTCAAACTAGAGTTTGGCAAAAAGTTGGATGAAAAATAAAAAAATAGTTTTGTCTACTTCTTAATGATGGTCTGTTCTAAAGTCAACGCCGACAAAATAAAAAAAGTTTTGTCTACTTCTTAATGATGGCCTGTTCTAAAGTCAACGCCGATGTGTACACCAAAACTTGGGAGGCATGAAGGGCAGATAAGAAAGAAAATTAGAAACCAGTGTAATGGTGCATGCCCAGCACTCAGGAGGCAGAGGCAAGCAGATCTGAGTTCCAGGCCAGCCTGGTACACAGAGAGTTCCTCCAGGGCAGCCAGGACTACACAGAGAAACCCTGTCTCAAAAAAAAAAAAACAAAAAAAACAAAAACAAAACAAAAAAAACCCCAAAAACCAAAACCCACAACTTGAATTAGATGTCAATTAATTAGAAGGAATCATATCCTGTAAATAAATCTAAAGCGTGGTAGAAAAGAGAATACTCACAGATAACATGTTTATTCTGAGCCTGTAACCTTTTTTTTCCCTAACGGTCCCGTGTGGCTCAGACTGGTCTTGAACCGATGTCCGTGTGGCTCAGACTGGTCTTGAACCGATGTCCTGCATTACAACTCCTAGGATTACAGGAATGAGCCATCATACCCTGCTTAATTACATTTTATTTGACATTATATTGAAACTGTTTGGGGAAAACAGTGCTGAGGTTTAATTTAGAACCGTCTTTTCTTTTTCTAAAATAACCATACCACATTGCTAAATATAAGTTAAAAAGTATTCGAATATATTTAAATAATCACGCATTCTCCAAACCCCGACATATATCCCTGTCCAACTTTTTTTTTAGTAAAAATATGCAATAAAAAACAAATTTAAGTCTCTGTTCTCCCTACCCTAATCAGCACTAGAGTGCCCCCTTGCGATCCCTCTGTTGTCCAACCTACAAGGTCCTGCTCTTCATTGTAACTATGGCATGGTGAAACGGATGTTAACGTTTGTTGGTGACTTCCTCTTTTCCTTCCTCGATTTCTTTTCAGTCTTCTCAAAGGAACAAATAAACTGGACTCAGATAAAGCCATAACCTTCTGGACCAAAGATCTACTTTAGTCTGCTCTGTTCCCTGTGCTGAGAATCAGAAAATTCTGAGTTGAAGGGTCCGAAGAGCCCGGGGCAGAAAAGTCAGGGACGATTTCAGCTTTGACCCCTAGAGTCTTGGCGGGCTGGCATCTGAGATGGTAACGTGCATGGCAGGTTATGTAAGAACCGGCTGGAGAAGCCGCGGCGGGAGCCCCGGAGAGGACGCGGTGTTCCGGCTGCAGTCCCCACCCTCCTGGCCCAGCAGGGCAGGAGGCACCCAACTAGGAGACGAGTAGGGGAGGATGGAAGAGTGGGGAGTCACGAGGGCGAGCCGCCGACAGGGGAGCGGATGCCCGGCGTCACACGTCCGTTGTCACACACGTTGCGGACACGAGTTGCTGAGGGCTCCCACGTGCTGCGCCCGTGCGCGGAGGCGCTCAGAGGGGCCCACGTCCCGAGGCACCGCCTCCGTGGCACGGTCTCGCTCGGCATACTCCAGCCGCGCAGTCTCCCGCGCAGCGCCGTCCTATTTAAGGCTACGAGCTCCACCCTTTTCCGCCCCTTCCTTCATTTTCACTTTTTTCCATCCTCCTTTTTATCACCGGAGGAGCCGCATGTACGGGCGGAGCATCGACTGCTTCCCTTCCAGCCAATCACCACTAGGCTATCTCCCTATTGGCCGAGCCCCCGCACGCTGTAGCAAATGGACTGTGAGTGTCTGTATCTAGAGTCACGTGTTGCCGGCAAGCTATCCAATGAGAGCACAAGGTCTGTGTACGCAGGGGGAGGCACGTGCAGAGCCGCACGTGTCTGGGAGGGGGAAGGGGCGGTACCCACAGAGTGAGGCGGAGGTGGGTCGGCTAGACTTGGCACAGTCGTTGAAGGAGCTGGATACTGACCGAGGCTGAGCCGGCAGACCCAGGTGAGCAGACGAGAGCCGAGCGCTCCGGAAGACTGACCCCGACGGAGGGAGTAGGCTTGTGAGACCGCAGGATCTGGGTGTTGGGAGGAATTGCATCACTTGGAAGGCGCGACCATAGACTGACCGGCGCGGGGCACCTGACGGTAAGAGATGCGAAAGCTGTGGAGATGTGTTCGTGGGGGCGGCACCCATAAGGACCTTAAGTGGATTCTGGTGCGCAGATCAGCCACTAGCGGGTGGCTTTTTAGGTCGATAAGCTCACTATGAGGTCTGGCAGGGAACAGCCCAGAACAGCAGAAGGAGGGGAAGGTGTAAAGTCGGGTGTTCACTCTGAACCCACGGGAAGAAAGGTTGTGTGGGGTCAAGAGCTCTGCGTGGGCCGGCGGTCTGGATTTTGAATGGGGGTGGAAAAGCAAGTTTGTTTGTTTGTTTGTTTTTCTTGTTTCTGTTGAGAACGAGAAAAAAAAATTGTTACCCTGTTCATAACACCCCAGTCTCCTAGTCCCTTTCCTGATTCTTTGACTCTGATTTCAAACTCACTCGCTTTGCTTTTCAGTTGCAGGTTCTGATCTTTGGTACTACGGGAGCTGCTCTTCAGCCCCTGCTCCTGGACTTATGGATTCTCCATCTAGCGTTTCTTCTTATTCCTCCTCCTCTCTCTCCTCGTCATTTTCTACATCCCCTGTGAACAGTGACTTTAGCTTCCCCTCTGATACTGAGAGGGAGGGCAAAAGCTCCCATGGGCTCAGGCCAGACGCTGTTGGGCAAAGGGGATGTTCCCAGCCCAGTCCAGGTCCTATCCGATGCAGACATCGACCCAGGGTTTCTAGTAACCAACATACAGCATCTCACCTGGAACAGCGAGGATCTAGGGTCAGAGGATCCAGACACTGTGAACTGGAGACCAGTCTACACACCCAGGAATGTACCACAGAAGGAGACCTGCTTTTTGCTCAAAAGGTAAGAGGAAGCAGGAGACAGTAGTGCAGTGTCAGACACCTCATTGGTTGACCTTAAGAGGATGGTATTGGCTGTCAGATACATGCCAGAAGAAAAACCACTGCTGGTCCCTTAGTCTTTGTGCTGTTTTTCTACAGTGTAAAGAACTCCAAGGGTTCATACGGCCCCTTACAGACCTACTGAATGGACTAAAAATGGGCCGCTTCCATAGAGGTAATAACTTGCTTGATTACATTTCTCGAGGCGGGGTAGGGGACCTGGGCATCTGTAACTTAATTCCCTGTTTTCATCTGTAACTTAATTCTTTGGGTGAATCCATTTTTAACCTTTATCTATCTCTGTCTTTACATTTACTTCAGTCTCCACCTCTGCTTTCTCTCATGCTGGGGAGTGAACCTCGTGCCTTGTGTACCCTGTGCAAGCTCTTTGGCACTGAGCTTCATCCCACACCCTCTGATCACCCTCTCTCTTTCTCCTTAGGATTGAGTAGCTTCCAGCAGAGTGTGGCCATGGACCGGATCCAGCGTATAGTGGGTGTTTTGCGGAAGCCTCAGATGGGGTAAGTTTTTTCTTCTCAGTATCTTATTGAGAGAGACTTGTACTTCTAAAAGTCATACATAATGATTTTTATAATTATTTTTTTTTCACAGAGAACGTTATCTAGGAACCTTGCTTCAAGTGGAAGGGATGTTAAAGACTTGGTTTCCTCATGTATCTGTCCAGAAGTCATCCTTAGGAGGTAGCGGGCATCAGGTAAACAAGGTAAGAACCTAAACACCAAGGGAGAGATGGGAGAAAAATCAAGAAATGGACTATGCATGGAGAAATGTCTCTCTCTCTCTCTCTCTCTCTCTTTTTTTTTCAGGGAAGGGAATGCCTAACTTTAATATATTACTGTAATTTTTAGATTTAACCTAGATGTTGGTTCTATTTTGTTGGGATCCCACGAAATTTAACCCTACCCTCCTGTTGAGACTTATGTGCTTTCTGGCCAAATGACTCACAGAGGAAGGTTCCTCAGTTCTCTACAAATCTTTCCTCCTTGCATCCCTCCAAACCCTTCCCCTATCCATCTTTTGACTCCTGTGAGTCCTTGGCTAAGCCTTAAGTGTCTATAGTGGGATTCTTTGTTTTGTTTAAAGACAGGGTTTCTCTGTAGCTCCAGCTGTCCTGGAGCTCACAGAGATCCACCTGCCTCTTCCTCCTGAGTGCTTGAGTTAAAGGCGAGTGCCACCCACCATGTCCAACTAAGTCAGCTATAGTTTCGTTTTGTTTTTTCAACACAGGGTTTCTCTATTGATTTGGAGTCAACTATAGTTTTTAATGATGTGAAAAGAATTGACTGAAAAATAAGTAACAGGATCATGCCTCGTGAAGAACTAAACATGGAAAATGAGGATTTCAATACAGAAATTAGGACTTTAATTCACTTACACTTCTTGGGCTGGGGCTCAGGTGTATTAGAATGCTTTCCTGCCACATAGCAGGCCATGGGTTTGATTCTTTTAACACCACAAAAAAGTACTTTAAAGAAACTGAACAGGAATCATTGTGTAAATAGTGAGAACTGTAGGGCTGTTTTATCTTGTCCATTTTTAATAGCCTAATAGCACGTGTTACACAGAGTCCCCTCAACTGTTTGTTGAATAAGTGGAACCATTACTTGATTGCTAAATTTTTACTTAATCATCACCTGGCAAGAACACACCTGTTGCACAAAATAGTGTGTGTTTGCACTGCACAATGAGTTCTCAAGGATAGGAAAGGTCCAAGCTAAGTGGAGCTAATCTGTAAGCTTTCTTAAAGGTTGCTTGTCTTCTTTCCCTACTCTCTAGCACTTCCCAAGCCACCACAGTGACTCAGCTGCTTCCTCTCCTGCTGCACCTCTCACAGAGAAGATGGGCCAAACACAGCTAGGACATTTCATTTTGAAACCAAAGCAGCCTTGGCATCTCACAGAATGGCCGTCTATGAACCTCACCTGGATTCACAGCACTCCAATTTCTAACCCTCCCCTCGGCTCCCAAGGCTCCACCCCTGTGCACAGTTCCTCAGGCGCTGGGGACAGCATTGGTGTCATCCTTGTCCTCCAGAAAGGAGGGCAGCCCTTCCCCCACTCTGCCCCAGACACTCCAGTTCCACCAACTACACTGCCTCTTGTCATCCCTGGCAAGCTGAAGAAACTGTCTGGAGAGGGGCCTTGTTGCCACAGTTTGCCAGTAACCCTGCCATCAGACTGGAGCTGCACCGTCTGTCCCCCTGTCCTACCTACCACAGTCAGAGAGATGACGACAGCAGCACACTCAGAGCCACAGATGGCCAGCCATCCTGTCGTTGCCCCTGCTCCTTAGCCCCTGACCCAAGCTTTACACCTGTCCTCCAGTTTTCAGTTCGTGTAAATGTATGTTTATGTGTACATTTTTTTTTTCTTTTTTTACCTTTAATGTATTTGTGGTGAGGAAAAATAAATCATTTCTGATTAAAGACTTTTTTTTTTTAACCTAAACACTTTGTTGACTGTGGTAAATTGAAAACTTTCCGCCTTAAATACCATAAATCTTACCCACTGGGCTTCTAAAAAGAAGATAGGACAGAAGTGTTTGTGAATGCACGAGCTCCGCAAGGTAGAGTCTGAGTGGGATAACAGAACCTGTGCAGGGGCGCGGTAGCTGCTGCTTCCCTAGGGGACACCCTTAGGACACTTAAGGTTCAGAGTTCAGGTGGGTTTGTTGCTGGGGGTTTTTGTTTTTTGTTTTTTTTTTTTCGTTCACACTCAGAAACTAGTACGTTTCCCTTTGTCTCCCTGTGGAATCTTCCAGCTGGCCAGACAAGCAGGTTCTTCTGCTCTGGCTCAGCACTGCTTTGATGGGAGCTATCAATGCTTGGGGGTAAATGTCTATGTAACCTTCTGCTGCCTCCAGAAGAGCAAAAGTCAAAACAGCCACTGGGGTGCCAGTTCTGAAGAGGGCACAGTACCCTAGAATTGTTGTTAGGATAGGGGGACTCAGACTCTGGGCCACAATCCTTACATTGCTAACTGCTAAACGTGTATGCTAGGCAAAGGAAAGCTACTCAAGTGTTACCGAGTGAAGTCCATGAATGGATGGTTCTCTGCCCTTCTCTGTGTCTTTATTTCTTTCTAATTTGTCTCAGTTCCTACCAAAAGAAAAAACAAACAAACAAACAAAAACATGTCCTCTCATTCTCAGCCTTACCAGTGAGTGCATCAGTTAATTCTGTCATCTTAGTCATTGCTTCTTAGCTGCTCAGCACACTTCTCACTAGTCAGCTTTCCCATTGCTGGGGAATAAATCATCTTCCTTTATTTCAGAAAATATGACCTCCTTTCTAAGGCAAAACCTTATTTGTGTAGCTCATGCTGGCCTGGAAATCAAGGTGGTCCTGGTGCCCCAGGAATTACAGAGGTGAAACACCACTTTTAGCTCCATGTGTGATTTTGCTAGATTATGTATATATATTTTTCTTTTAGGAGACAGTGTCTCATTATGTAGCCCTGATTGGCCTAAAACTTGCTACCTAAACCAGGCCTGCCTCTGCCTCCTGAGTGCTGGGGTTAAAGCAGGCATGAACCACCATGCCTGGTTTATTTTATTTACTTACTTATTTTTATTTTAGTGCATTGGTGTTTTGCCTGCATGCATGTCTATATGAGGGTGTCAGATCCCCAGAACTCGATCCACAGACAATTTTGAGCTGCCATGTGGGTGCTGGAAGTTGAACGCAGGTCCTCTGGAACCTGCTGAGCCAGCGTTCAAGCCCCCTTTTTAGTTTTGTTTTTAAATGTGTATGATTATTTGCCTGTATGTATGTATGTGTACCACATGCATGTCTGGTACCTAAAGAGGTCAGAAGGCGGCACTGAATTCCCTGGAACTGGAATTATATAGAGGTTTGTGGGCCACCATATAGGTGCTGGGAACTGAACTCAGGTCCTCTACAAGAACAGCAAGTGCTCTTAACAGCTGAGCCATCTCTCTAGCCCCTTGTATTTCCTTTTATTTGTGAAAATTTTGTAATTTATATTTGCGCTGTGCCATGGGTTATTGGCTTACTGAAAATACTGCTTAAGCTTACATATCCTCTTTCTCTTCTTTGCTCTATAGTTCTTCCCCAGTCCCACTCTCACTCAGTACTAGGGACTGAACTCTGGGCCTCGTGCATACTAGGAAAATGCTCTAGTAGCCCACAATTCCTCAGAGTAGTTTTTCCAATACCTCATCACCACTGTAGTTAATTGCTGGCAGCCCAGTTCACACACTTCCATGTTATTGCACCTTCCAAAGTAACTCATGAGCCCACAAAATGAGCCTACAATGTTTTATAATATACCTTCCACCTAATCACATGAAACCCAGATACCTTCACAAAGGTTGGGCACTGTATCACTTGACACAACGCTGCCTTCTGGAACTTTCCTACCTTAGATCTTGTGACTACACACAGTCCCAACTCTCCTCTTACCCAACTGGCAGCACTTTCTAGGTTTCTTAATGGCCCTGTTTCCACCTACCCCAGAGTGTGGGTATTCTCCAGGGCGCTAGTTTTAGCTTTTCCTTACATATATCCAAACATGTTAACTTTGCATTTTTTATTGCCTTTATTATTTCCTCAATTTAGATAAATGCTAAATCTTCATTTCCTGTTCTAACATTTGCCCTAAGAAGGTACACTGAATGTATACATTTTTGCTGGGGAGTTTTATATACTTCTTATACAAAAATTACTGAAGGGGCCAGCAACATGCTCAAAGTATCTAAAGACTCTTGTAGGCAAGCCTTATTGAGTTTCATACCTGAGTTCCACACAGTGCAAGGAGGGAATCAACTCCCACAAGTTGTCCTCTGGCCTCTGCATATGCACACACCCATGTAGGCATATATGTACACACTAAACAAATATGTTTGTTATTATTTAATTATTGAGGGCTAGAGAAATGGCTCAGAAATTAAGAGCACTTGTGCAGAAGATCAATGTTTAGTGTCCAGCACCCACATGGTGGCTCAGAACCCTTTGTAATTCCAATTGCAAGGTACCTGATGTCCTGAATCTGATACCCTCTTCTGACCTCCTTGGGCACTAGACATGCCTACTGTAAACATACATGCAGGCAAAACACTCATAAACTTAAGGCCAAGGCAAGCAGATCTCTGAGTCTAAAGCCAGCCTGTTCTACATAGTGGATTCCAGGTTAGCCAGGGCTACACAAAGCAACCCTGTCTTGAAAAAAAACAAACAAAAGCAATTCATTAAAATTTTAGCATTTTATGGCCAGGGATGTCTTTAAAATAAAAGGCCTGGTGAGATAGCTCAGTGAGTAAAGGCCCCTGCCACCACCATGCCTGATGACCTGAGTTCAAACCATGAAACCCACCTGGTGTAAGGAGAGAAACAATTTTGACAAGTTGTTCTCTGACCTCTATTATGACACAAATACATGAGCACATGTTTGAGCCTGAGTACACAGAATTAATTACTCTCCTCTTTTGTTAGTGAACTATACAATGCCAACATTTTTCTTCATAACTAGGCTTAAACTTGGGGACACTGAGGTTGGGCAGAAGGCTCAGAGGTTAACAGCACTAATAGTTATTTTGGAGGACCCAGGTTAAATTCCTAGTGCCCATATGGTGGCTCATAGCATCTGTAAATCCAGATCCAGGGAACCTGATGCCCTTTTTTTGTCCTCCCTGGACATTAGGCATAAACGCAGACAAAACACCCATACACATTAAACAATTTTTTGTTTGTTTGTTTCTGTTTTCTGAGACAGGGTTTCTCTGTGGCTTTGGAGAGCCTGTCCTGGAACTTGATCTTCTAGGTCAGGACGGTCTTGAACTCACAGACATGCACCTGCCTCTTCCTCCCAAGTGCTGGGATTAAAGGTGCATGCCACCATCACCTGGCTACATTAAAAAATTTTTTGATCCAGTAAAAAAGAAAAAATTAGCAAAGGGGTGGAAAAGTTGGCTCAGCAGTTAAGAACACTTTTTGCTGTTATAGAATACCCAGGTATGGGGCTAGAGAGATGGCTCCGCGGTTAAGAACACTAGCTGGTCTTCCAGAGGTCCTAAGTTTAATTCCTAGCAACCACATGATGGCCCACAACCGTCCATCTCTCCAGCCCCCATCCCCATTTCTTCTACCCAGCTCCACCATTGGAGCCATACACAATCAACAAATAAACATGATAGCATTCCAATAGTTTTATTAATATAAAAAAGTGCAGACTCCTAGTTTGAATAACTGGGTCTCAGAATATGAATAGAAACTAGAACACTTTCCACTGTATTATGTGCCTGTTCATATGATTAATTTTGCACTTATCATATGCTACCCAGTCAAAATTTGTGTCCAGATACTGTTTTCCAGTAGCACAAGAGACACCGGAATGGTATCAACAGTGCCTGGCAGAGGCTATATATTCAACTAAAAGTTTGTTGACAAACATAATAGTGTCCCAGTGTAGCTTCACTTTGGTACTTTGGATATGACTTATTATGAGGCAGCCTTAAGTTTTGCCTGAGTACCTACTAACTAATAATGTTCTGGATAGATGGCCCAGTGGTTAAGAACATTCAGTTCCCAGTATCCACCTGTTAATTCCAGTTCCAGGGATCCAACACCTCTCCTATCTTTCATGGGCTCCTACATGCACATGGTGCATATACATACACTCAGGCACACATACATACACATAAATAAAAACAAATTTTCAAAAGAAATAACAGATGAAGATGCATCTGTGTGTTTTGTGGAGAGGTTTTCTGCTTTCATTACTTCTGAACCCATGTAAACAATCATACATGGGATATATGGGGACAGCATATACATAAGATTGTCAAGACAGTGTGGAAGAAATAAAAAAGAGAAGTTTCTACCAGATCTTACAAGGCAACAAATGACAACGTTGGCATTAAACAAAATACAGACGTTCCCCATTTCTTTAGTTATTCCATTTTATTTAGTGAAATGGCTTAAATGAATGACGAAATGGGAAACTCACACTATATAATTTCTTTTTCTTAACTTTTAGGCTGATGAAGGGTGTGAATCTATTTTTCACCCGGAGAAAAGATCTGTCCTTTCTGGTTTTTCGAGACAGGATTTCTCAGTGTAGCTTTGTAGACCAGGCTGGCCTTGAACTCACAGAGATCCGCCTGCCTCTGACTCCCGAGTGATGGGATTAAAGGTGTGCGCCACCACGGCCGGGATCTGTCTTTAAAATAGAGAACGTTCTCAGACCGCTTCCCATTTCCCACCCAGAAAACGAAATCGCTCAGATCTAGTAAAGAGCTACAGATCCGGCTGACCTTCTCGCAGACCCAAGGACCACGACTCCATAGGAAGGCGAGGACGCCGTCAATGACTTTGTCAGGCATAGATCAGCGCCTGCGCTCAGAAGCGAAGGACAGACTGCGCAGCTTCCGCAGCAGTCTGTGCCCTTCAGCGCGGCTTCGTCCCGCCTCGGGGATTCCGTAGCTTCCGCTTCCGCTTCCGGTCCGAAGCGTCCCGGAGTTCTGAGAGCGGAGACAGTAGGTGTAAGTGAATGGCAAGGTGACTGGGCAAAGCGCGTGTGGCGGGAGGACAGGATTTCGCGTGGCCTCCTGGTCCCTAGAGACGGAATTTTTCAAATTACATTTTTTCAGTGTTGAGAGTGTTTTGTAGTTCTGGCACTTGCAATGTAGACCAGTCTGGCCTCGAATTCACAGAGGGCTGGGATTAAAGGCATGTGCCACCGCTTGCCTTTTAAAATTAATTACATTATTGTACGTGTATGAGTATTTTTCTTGCATGTATGTGTGTGCACCACAGAAGCCAGAAAAGAACATTGGATCCTCTGGACTGGAGTTACAGATAGATGGTTGTGAGCCAGCAGGTGGGTGCTAGGAATCAAACCTGGGTCGTCTTAACTACCGAGCCATCTCTTCAGACCAACTTGCACTTTCTAAGATTTGAAGAACTCCTATCTGGTTCCATGAGTTCCTGAGCAAGCTCTATTTCCAGATTTAATAAAACTACCTATGGTAATGTGTGATTCTGGCTTCATTTTCTTACTTATTTTCCGGTTTCCATGCTCCTTGTCCAGTCTGTAAGTCCTGAAGAATGAAGATTTGAAAACAAGGCCATGGCTAAACACCTGAAGTTCATTGCCAGGACTGTGATGGTTCAGGAGGGGAACGTGGAAGGTGCATACAGGACTCTGACCAGGTAAAAAGAATCAGTTTTGCTTGTAGGGTTATCCCTCACTTAGCTTACCCCCACATAAACTGTTCTCAGACTGGTCCTAACCCAGTGTTTAGGCTTTGGACTCTTTTTAGCACCTCAATTTACTATTACTTGATGGCGTTTATCTAGCCAGCAGTCACCATCCCTTGATGGACCTGAATTCTCTCTGAGATTTTGGAAAGGGCCCGTAAGTCTGTGCCTGCTTGAGCTTGTCTATATGTCAGCACCTGGAAGGTGGGGGCAGAAAGAATTTGAGAACAGTGTAAGCTACATGACTAGACTCTTATCTCAGTTGACCTCTTCCCATTTCAAAAAAGAGAGAGCTAGAAGGGAAATGAACAACAAGAAAAGGCATAGTGCGCGAAAAATAGCTGAGACTGTTTCTGTGGAGTGAGGATACTGGAGAAAATCATTTCCTTTGTGATTTTGTTCATCTCACGGTAGCTTAGGCTGGTGTAGAATGGGTAGTATAGCTAAGTATAACCTTGACTCCTGATCCTCCTGCCCCTTCTTCCAAGTTCTGAGATTATTTGTCCACTACTACTTACCTGCCAACTCAAAAAACAATGAATTCTGATTTTATTCTTGGAGAAAAAAATCAAGATGAGACAGCATTACAAGTTCAAAGGAGGATTACAGAATAAAGAAAAGTATGTAGCTAGGGTCTGGAGAGATGGCTCCATGGTAAAGAGTGCTTGCTGCTCTTTTAGAGGACCCAAGTTTGGTTCTCAGTGCCCACAACTGATGTCAAGGATCTGATACTCTCTTCCACCCCCTGCAGATACCCATGCAGGTGACATAAACAAAAATACATACATACATTTAAAAAATGACATAATTGGAGAGGAGGGACTCCATAAAAAGGTATTTAAACACTAGACTATGGTATAAATCATCTGGTGTGTGGTACTGGTGCCACACTGTTCTAGTTCTTTTAGGTTTCCCTAGTCTGGCATACCTCGTTTACAGTTTTTATTTTAATTACTTGCGTGTATGTGGGTATGTGCACTTAAGTGCAGGTACTGTTGGAGGTCAGAAGCATTTGCACCCCGTTGGAGCTAGAGAGTTCAGGGAAGTTGTGAGCCACTGACATGAGTGCTGGAAGCCAGTGAGCCATCTCTCCGGCTCTGGCTTTGTTTTGTTGTAGTTTGAGTGCTGGGATGTGTGCCACCATGCTTGCCTTTGTAGCTGTTTTTCCTCCTGTTTCCTTGGGCTTTACTGTAATGTGAAGGTTGCTCTGAAGAGAGAGTTGTCTGATGTAGACAGCAGTGCCCTGCAACCCAGCCTCCTCCGTTTCACATATTGCTCATTTTCAGCAGCAGCATTTACTGCCTCTGTCCTTTTTGTGTGATAAAATGTATTCTTCATTTCTAATTTCAAGATTATAAAGCAAAGATAAATAAAGTATAGCTGGGCGGTGGGGTCGCAGGTCTTTAGTCCCAGCACTCAGGAGGCAGAGGCAGAAGCAGGTGGACCTCTGAATTCGAGACTGGCCAGGTATACTGAGCGAGTTCCAGGACAGGCTCCAAAGCTATAGAGAAATCCTGTGTCCAAAAGAAAAAAAAAAGGAAAAGAAATAAAATATTTATCATCCCCTGCCTGAAGGAGGTGATTATCTTTTTGTTGAAGTCACGGTCTTATTTAATCATCACTAGGGGTTTGTTTGTTTAAGATTTATTTTTCTTTAATACACAAATACTCTATAGCATGTGCTCTTGCACACACACAAAATAAAGGTAATACATTAAAGCATTAAAGATTTAATAAAAATACAATCCTTCCTGGTTCTTGGTGCAACTAAGTAGTTCTTGAGGGAAAAAGAAATAAATAGCAGAAAATAGAGGCTGGAGAGAAGGCTAAGTGGTTAAGAGTACATGCTCTGCTAGAGGTCCCAGGTTCAATTCTCAGCACCCACATACCGGCTTACAACATTCTGTAACTCTAGTTCCAGAGGATCTGACATCAGTTTTTGGCCTCTGTAAGTAATAGGCACATACCACTTACACAGGCATAAATTAAGGCAAACATTTACATACATAAAATAATAATCTTAAAAGTAGGTGCTGTGATGGCTGGAGAGATGTCTCAGTGGTTAAGAGTACTGGCTGTTCTTCCAGAGATCCTGAGTTCAATTCCCAGCGACCACATGGCTCACAACCATCTATAATGAGATCTGGTATCCTCTTCTGGCCTGTAGGCAGAACACTGTATACATAATAATAATAAAAAAAAAAAATCTTTAAAAACTTTTTCTTTTAAAGTAGCTGCTGTGTGGATACTGTCTACCACCTGGCCTGGTGTTATTGCAGATCTTATTCTAAGGAATCTTGATTTTTTTTTTTTTTTTTTTTTTTCCTTTTTTTAGGGGGAATAGAGTCTTATGTAGCCCAGGTTGGCCTCAAATTTACCATATAACCAAGAATAGCCTTAGCTCCTGATCCTCTTGCCCTTATCTCCTAAATCTGGGGTTGTAGACCTGTGTTCTCTCCTCCATGCACACCTCTGCGGCTCTGGGGGTGGAACCCAGGACTCCATATATGCCAAGGAAGCATACTACCAGCTTTGAGCTGCATCCCCAGCCTAAAAATCCGTTTGCTTGAGAAAATAAATAAGTAAATAGACAAATAAATGCAAAGCAGTTGGGAGTGGTGACTTATGCTTGCAGTCCCAGCCCTGGAGATGCTGAGGCACGAGGATCTCAAGCTTGAGCTGCACAAACCGTAAAATAAAAAGACATAAAGTACTTTTTTCTTCAGTTATTAAAACACCAAGGAAATTACAAGTTTGAGGGGGTGGTTTATATTGGCAAGAAAGAAAAAAAATATATGATCTGGGGATATAGCTCACTTGGTAGAAAGGCACTTGGTCAGCAATACCATTGAAAATGCCTTGTGGTCAGTGCTTGTAACCCTGGCATTCAGAGTTGGAAGCAGGAGTATCAAGTTAGCCTTGGTTGTAGGGCAAGCTTGAGGCAAAGCTAGGCTACATGAGACTACCAGGAAGGGAGCAAGGAAGGAAGGAGAGAGGTTCCATAGAACAAGGAAGACTTCCGTTAGAGAGGTGTTTAGAAGAGTAAGTGAAGGAAGTGTGGCCCCTGGACTTAGACCCTGAGGTTTAACCTCTTCAGGCTTCCTTATGACCTTGAAACTGTGGCTTTATGGAGACTGTATTGGCAGTTTAAAGTCACTCTTCAGAAAGCTGCATTTTAAAAGTAGACTGGTACCAGACAAAGGTCTCCCAGCACTTTAATCCCAGCACTTGGGAGGCAGAGGTAGGCAGATCTCTGGGAGTTTAAGGCCAGACTGGTCTATACAGCAAGTTCCAGGACAGTCAGGGCTACACAGAGAAGAAACACGGTCTCGAGAAACCAAACCAAAACAAAAAATAGTAGACTGGTTAGGGTGGCACGTTTATAATCCCAATCAGCACAAGAAAGCTTGGACAGGAAAGTTAAGAAATTGAAGGTTAATCTTGGGTACATATTAAGAGGCCAGCCTGAGACACTTAAGATCCTGTTACAGAAAATGTCTTATAAATTATATTTTAGCTTAAGGGTGGGGGCAGTGAGCTCCTAGGGTACTTTTCTAGGCGAGAGTGTGCGAGCTCACACTTGGAGGCCTGGGGTGCCTGTCCTCCTTGCCATCTAAGTGCTGTCTTTCCTGACTTAGCGATTCTCTTTTCCTTGGCTGCTCTTTAATGTTTCTCCTTTTGGTCACCTTTTCTATATACCTGTCTCACTCTTGCCTTCTCTTATCTTTCTCAGCTTTCTGATGGTTGTAGTTTAAAAATAAATCGCTTGTTTTGTAATCTGATTACAGCAAAAGTGAGAGGACAAAGAGGCTGTTAAACCTTTACTATGTTGGGAGCACAGGGGGGGGAGCCTTACAAAGGAAGAAGCCTATGTGTCTGTCCAGAGGGACTGCCACGAAATGCCTGTTATATAACCAGGGGCTCATTGGAGCCCTCAGATGAGGCTATGGAGAGGAGGGTTGCTAGGAAGCCTTGTGTGATTGGCTGGCCCCCAAACTAGGAAAGACGAGCACCCTGGAAGCATGCCCGGTTGACCCCTTTTCCTCCTGATGGCCAGCTTCTGGTCTCCTTCTGTATACACACTGGTTGACGTAGGCTGGCTACACTGACATGTGGATCTGCCACCCCCAGCTTCCCCTTGTAAGCAGTGCAGTCCTTTTTACATAATAGTTGAATTTTACTAAAACTGGCAGCTGGTTTCCCCTTCATGTAAGGTTGCCAGGCACCAGAACTCCAAGCTGATCTGTTTACACTAAGCTGTTCATGTGCTACTCCTAGAAATACCTTTGCAAACAGAAGCAGTACTAGTAACACCTTCCCCAAAGTGCTCCATTGAGCTATATATCCTCCACTTTAGTAAGTTGCTAACCCAACCCCCCATCCCCCCACCCCCACCCCCTCAACTAGAGCCAGGGGCCTTGCATATAAGATAGTCAAGCACTCTACCACTAAACTACACCCACAGCCCTTTTGCTATTAATTACTTCTTGAGTTCTTTTGGATTTGTTTATTTGATTGGTTTTGGGAGGGGTGGGGGGGACAGGGTTTCATGTATCCTAGGCTGGCCATGTATGATTTTGAACTACCACCTCTACTTTCCAAATGCTGGCAAATGACAGTGTACAACTGGGTTATGTGGTCCCCGAGATCAAACCCAGGGCTCCTTTCATGCTCGGCAAGCATTCTACCAGCTGAGTTACATCCCAGGCTCCATACTTTTTTTTCTTTTGTTTTGTTTTCGAGCCAGTGTTTCTGTGCAGAACAGTCCTGGCTGTCCTGGAACTTGCACTGTAGACCAGGCTGGCTTTGAACTCATAGAGATCCGACTGCCTCTGCCTTAAAAGTGCTAGGATTAAAGGATGTGGGCCACCATGCTTATCAATACTCTGGGTTTCACCTTCAACACTAAGGGAAAAAAAGAAATGCCTGGATATTGAGATGATATCTTTATTCAGTGCATCTCATCTTTTTGGCCTCTATTTTCTCCTTCCCCTGGTTGAGGACCCTCACCCTGCTCCCCTACCCCCAGTTGTCTAAGTAAATCTGTCCAGTCTGGCCCAATTGGGTGCCCTCCAGGCCAATGAGAGAGCCTGTCTCAAAAGCACATATAAGACACATACACCCTCCACAAACGTAAGGTGGATGGACCTGAGGAATAATTCCTGGAGTTGATCCCTAGCTTCTGCAAGCACCTACACACACACACACATATGTCCACACACAGCTACATGACTGGAGTTCCTTATATATTGGAACATGGTGAAACTTTTTTTTTTCAAAATGGCTGAGTTTTTCTTTTTAAGATTTATTTATTATGTATACAATGCTCTGCCTGCATGTATGCCTGTATGCCAGAAGAGAGCACCAGATTTCATTACAGGTGGTTGTGAGCCTCCATGCGGTTGCTGGGAATTGAACTCAAGGGATCTTTGGAAGAACAGGCAGTGTTCTTAACTGCTGAGCCATTTCTCCAGCCCCAGTGAGGCTATCGTAATGCTTCCATTAGTATCACTGATATAATGAGGGCCTATACTTAGGTAGACCCCCAATATTACTCAGAGTTCCATTGTGTCCAAAAAAAAAAAATTTCTCTCTAAGCCTGGGTTTATACTTGTGGGCCAAGTGTTCTACTACTGAGCTATACCCCTTTTATTTATTTACTTGTTTTTATTTTAAAGCAGGATCTAAGTTGCCAGGCTGATCTGAAACTAGAGATCCTCTTACATTGGTCTCTCAAGTCCTGGACTGACAGACATGCACCACTGTATCAGTTCTTAAATATAAAGATTAATAGGAATCACTTCAGTTTTGCTTATTTTTTTTTTCTTTTAATTACAAATGGTTTACCCCATTTCTGGTTTGGTTTGGTTTGGGTTTGGGTCTCTCTTTGTAGCCCAGGTTGGCCTCCAACTCACAAAGATCTGCCTACTTTTGCTTCCATACACCCAGCTTCATGTACAGTTTCCAGAATGCTCCCGTGGATAAAAAGCACTGCACAGGGAGGGGGCCACTGTGCCCAGGGGAAGCTGTCCCACATCTCAGGTGTGTTGTGGTAGTCCAAAGCATGACTCTGACTATAAGCTCCCCAAGAGCAAGAGCTGTGGTTGCTTTTTAAAGTTTCCTCACAGGTTCTTACTGGGAAGAGGGCAGTACTGTACCGTTACCTCTTCACTTCAAGCACTAGTTATTTTAGTCCCTTGACTTCTGATAGGCTGTGAACTGTAAAGAACAATGATGAGCCACAGCACCTGTCTTCCCTGCTTGTCTTTACACAGAATCCTCACTACTGATGGGCTTACTGAAGTCATAAAGCGAAGGCGCTACTACGAGAAGCCCTGCCGCCGCCGCCAGCGGGAGAGCTATGAGACATGTCGGAGGATCTACAACATGGAAATGGCTCGAAAGATTAACTTCTTGATGCGAAAGAACCGGGCAGATCCATGGCAGGGCTGCTAAGACCTGTGGATAGAAGGCCCACAATTCTATGTCTAACTCTTCTTTATGCAACCCCATTTTCTGTTACCTTTCTCTTCAGTAAACTCAATCACACATAAGCAAGAAGACTTGAACATACAGAAGCTATCTCAGTCCACAATGAACCCTTTTATTAAAAAAAATTAATCAAAAAATGGAATAGGAGCAGTAATATTGGTTGCCAGTCTAGGAGAGGAACCAATCGGGAGTTATATGTAATAGGTACACTTTCTGTTTATAAAGATTTGTAAAAGTTCTAGAAACCATGGTGATTAAAAAAAAAGTGTATATTAGGGTTGCAGAGGTGACTCAGCAGTTAAGAGAGCTTGGTCCTTTAAAGAGGACCTTGGTTTAGTTCCACACCTACCGGCTGGCTCACAAGGTCTTTAACTCCAGTTCCAGGGGACCTCTCCACACCTTCTGGCCTCTGCATGTATGTAGAATACATATTTGCAAAACTGTTTTTGTCTTTCAAGATAGGGTTACTCTGTTTGCAGAACACTTTTTACACAGAAAATATAAATGTTTAGTGAATGTGGAGCTGGAGAGATGCCTCAGCTTTTTAAGCAACTGGCTTTTAGAAACTCTGAATTCAATGTCTGGCACCCATTTGGTGGCTCACAACTGTAACTCCAGTTCCAAGGGGATTCTTTTTCTGACCCCCACAGGTACCAGAAACACATGTGGTACACAGATATATATGTATTCATAAATTTAAGTAAGTAAATGTACTTAGTATTTGGTTAAATTGCTGTGATTTTTTTGTTTGGGTTTGTTGTTTTTAGTTTTTTTGTGGGAGGGGTTGTTTTGTTGGTTTTTGTTGTTTTTGTTTTTTGATACAGAATCTCACTGTAGACCAGGCTGGCCCCACACATGCAGATCCATCTGCCTCTGCCTTCTGAGTGTTGAAGCATTACAGAGTGCTGAAATTAACGATGTGCTCTACAGTGCTGTGCTTTTAAAAATTTAGAGTCTAGGGGAGGCAAGGAAAAGCTCCAACTGTAAAAAAATAGACTGCGTTTCCTACTCAATTTTTATGACCCCCAAAGCAAGTTTCACTGGAAATGCAGATGAGACTCTTTACTAAGTTACCCTCTTCCCTCTTAGTAGAAGTATGTATGTATTCTTAATAAATCCTAGAATACAGAACAACTAAACTAGTGCTGAAATCCTTGTCCTAAAGAATCCCAAGAACAAACCTAAGGAGACTAACTCCTGTTTCTGTCCTTGAGTTTCCTGAAGGGGCTCAGGGAGAGAGTTCAGGGGGAAAGGCGCTAGGTGGCTGATAAAGCAGTGAATGATCTGGGCTGTGGTGGTACCCGCCTTTGATCCAGCTCTGGGTAGGCAGAGGCGGTGGGATCTGTGAGTTAGGCCAGCCTGATTTACAAAGAGAGTTCCAGGACAGCCAGGATTGTTACACAAAGAAACCCTGTCTCAAAAAAAAAAAAAAAAAAAAAAAAAAAAAAAAACAAAAAAACAAAAAAAAAAAAACACACACACACACACACACAAAGCAGTAAATAAACAGTGAGAAAAAAAAAAGTGGAGGTGTTGGGAATGGAATGAGAAGTACAGTGTCAGAATCAAACCTGTGCAATCCAGGAATTGATACCTGCACCCGTAGAAGAGGCAGGAAGGCTAGCCAGTATTCTCCCAGGATACGACCTTCTGTGCATGGAGTTAAGGGATAGAATTTAAGGTTAGTGTGTAAACATTGCCCCCTTGTGGTGTAACACATTGGGTTTCTAGAACGCCTTCACTTTTTTTGAGTTAGGGTTTTAGGTAGCCCAAGCTGGCCTCAAATGTACAATCTACCTACCTGCCTTATCCTCTCCCGTTGAGGCTACAGGCTTCTCTAATGGCTGGAGCTGCTGAGCCCTTACTTGAGCTTATTCACCATGCCTCCCTTGAAGAAGCATTCAAGTCCTTAGCCACCTCTGAAATTATTTTTTGGCCTCCAAGTTGGAGTTTGTTTCTTTCTTGTGACCAAGTCTGTCATCAGGTACCTGACATGCAGATGTTGCCACCCACTCTGGGTTATCTTTTTATTCTGTTGATTGTTTCCTTTGATGTTTGCTTGTTGTGAAATGGCCTTGGCTGGCTTGGAACTGCCTCCTGTCCCAGCCTCCCAAACCAGGGATTACTGGCATCTGCTACCATGCCCAGCTCAGTGCACAGAAGTTTTCCATAGCTGTGAAGTACAGTTTGCTTTGTTGCCTTTGTTTTTGGTGTCTCATCCACAAATTCATTGCCAAATCCAGTGTTGTGAAGACTAACCCTTTTCTAACAGTTTTATAAATTTTTGCTCTTAATTTTTTTATACTTTTAAAAATTTAAGCCTTTGAACCATTCATATTAATGAGAATTTAACTATATTACTGGGGTCTTGGGTTTCAGTATTCCCTGCAGCCCAGACTAACCTCAAACTCTATATGTAGTTAACTGGTCTTGAACACTTAATCTTCCTGCATCCAACCAGACAAAAACTTAAAAAAAATTGAGATGGAGAGGGAGGATCGCTGGAGAAGTAGCTCAGAGGTTAAGAGCACTGGCTGTTCTAAAGGTCCTGAGTTCTGAGTTCAATTCCCAGCAACTACATGGTGGCTCACAATCATCTGTAATGAGATCTGGTGCCCTCTTTCTGCCTGCAGGCATATATGCAGGCAGAACATTGTATGCACCATTAATAATTCTTTAAAAAAAATTGAAACAGGGCCTCGATGTACAGCCTTGACTGTCCTGGAACTAACTATGTACAAAATATTGGCCTGGAACTTGGAGATCTGCCTACCTCTGTCTGGTAAGTGCTAAGATTGAAGGCATGCACCATCATTCCCAGCCAAAAACTAACTTTTTGGTTTTTTGAGACAGGGCTTCTCTGTAGTTTTGGAATCTACCCTGGAACTCAGTAAACCAAATGACCTCGAACTCACAGAGATCCCCCTGCCTCTGACTTCTGAGTGCTGGGATTAAAGGCGTGCACCACCTCAAGGCCAAACACTAACTTTTAAAAATTACATTTATTTATTTGCTCTGTATGTGCACATAGCACAGTGTACATTGGGAAGTCAGAGAACAACTTTTGAGAACTGGCTCTCTTCCACCTTGTGGGTCCTGAGGATCAAATGCAGGTTACCAGAATTGGTGGCAAGCACATTTACCCATGGAGCCATCTTACCAGCCCCAACAGAAATTAAAATTACAAAATATTGTCTTGGTAGTAGACTCATCAGAAAATACAGTTATTTTCTAGTAAGATGGGAATTAGAATTTCCCAGTAGTATCAGGTTTTTTTGTTTGTTAGTTTTGTGGGGGGGATCAATGCCCACCTACATAGACGTTTATTAGGGTCTGGAGTGATGGGTTCGGCAATCAAGAGCACTGGCTGTTCTTCCAGAGGATGCGGGTTCAATTCCCAGCACCCACATGGCAGCTCACAGCTGTTTGTAACTCCAGACCCTCATGCAAGCAAAATACCATTGAATAATTAAAAAAAAAATGTAAAGAAAAGTTTATTGACTGACTTTAAGAAGGAGATTCTTGCTGCATTATTCAGGGTGGCCTAAACTCCCCGGTACGGGTAATATTCCTACCCCACTCTGAATTTGAGGCCAGCTTGGTCTACATAGCAAGTTCCAGGACAGCCAGAGCTACAGAGAAATCCTGTCTTGAAAAAGAAAAAATTCCTACATCAGCTTCCTTTATAGTTGATCTCAGCCCTTAGTCCAGGCATGGGGGACCTTGCCCAGCTAAAAGATAAGTTTAATCTTTTGAAAATTACAAAACCCCACTTTCAGCCAGATGTTGGTGGTACACGCCTTTAGTCCCAGCACTCGGGAAACAGAGGCAGGTGGATCTCTGTGAGTTCAGGGACAGCTTGGTCTACAGAGCTAGTTCCAGCAGAGGCTCCAAAGCAATACAGAAAAACCCTGTCTTGAAAAACAAAGAAAGCAAACAAACAAACAAAACCACTTTCCCTGCTAGGATAACATGACAGAACAGAATAAAACCTGCCTTTTGAGTGACAAGGTGGGGTAGCATGGACATGTTGCTCAGCTCACTCAGTCTCACATGTACAACACCTAGTACCAGCATGTCCCAGTCTGAAGGCAGCTGTCTGACAGTCACTTCATTTGGGAATGCTGGCCAAGGGTGTCTTCTGCAAACTGTCCCCATTCCTATCCAGCACAACCCCAAGATGGTAATTTGGGGCCACATTTTGTCTCAGCACCTGTGCATGTTGTTCACTGCATATGAATAAAGCTGGAGAAGTCTGGGCTACTATTGCTCAGGTACTCATAATTTGAGGCTACTGTCTGCCATGTGCAGTCTTTAGACAAACACATCTGTTTGTGGCTATTTTCCAATCTTAGTTTTTACAAGAATCTGACAAAAAGGTCCTTGATGATAGTGCTGGAAATGTCTCAAGAATAAAATGGATTTTCCCCCAAAATGTGTTCTGATTAGTGTATTCCCATTTTTTTCTATTGGAATTATTTCCAGTAATTCTAAATTATTCTTTTTTTTTTTTTTTTTTTTTTTTTTTTTTTGAGACAGGTTTTCACAGTGATTTTCAGCTCACCAAGATCTGCCTGCCTTTGCCTCTCAAGTGCTGGAATTAACCTGAGCCAACATGCCCTGCCTTTTTTCGGTGCTTTTTAACAATCTAGATTAAATTTTCTATGGGAAATGTTTTTAGAGGGACTGATTTTATTTTCAATATTTAATCAGATGAATTTAAAATAAGTATTAATCTCTCAGTTACCGGCTGTGATTCCTCTGTATAAGTTTTCTGGCTGGTGGCTGAATCAATTTTCTCACCTGGCGGTGGTAGTGCGCACCTTTAATTACCAGCATTTGGGAGACAGAGGCATGTGAACTTCTGTGAGTTAGAGACCAGCCTGGTCTTCAGAGTGAGTTCTAGGACAGCCAGGACTGTTACACAAAGAAACCTGTCTCAAAAAAAGTTCAGAAAAACAAAGTTTTCTGAACTGTTTCCTGTATTAGGAAATGACAAAAGGATTCAGGTACAGTGACACACACATTTAATCCTAACTATTCAAACTGCAGAATAAGGGTCACTTGAGCCCAGGAATTCAAAGCCAATCTGGAGAAAACAGACCTCAGACAGAGAAGGGAAAAATAGGAATCCCTTTAGAGGGTATCAGGAGCATTGACTAATATAGTAAAACATACTACTAGATGGGGTACTGGCATAAGCTACAAATGTGGATGAACAGAACAGTACAGAGTAAACTCATATGGTCAGATTGTTGAAATTGTAGTTCTGGGTATCACACCTAAGGTCTGAACTATGCTCTAGGCAAGTGCTATAGCACTGAACTACATCCCAAGTTCTGGTTAACTTAAAATACCTTTTCTTTAAAATTTGTATTGTGTGTACATGGAGATCTGAAGATAACTCTTAGAAGTCAATTTTCTCCTGCATCCTTATGGAACCCTGAAATCAAATTTAGGTCATTGTCAGACATCTCTGCTTACAGTGTGGCCCTCACCTCATTTTTTGACAAGGCTGCCAAAGCTACTCAAGGGGAAAGGACAGCCTGCTTAACAAATATTGTGAGAGTTGGGTGTGGTGATTTAGGACTGTAATCTCAGTCTTTAAGAAATGAAGATAGGAGCCAAGCGTTGGTGGCACATGCCTTTGGTCCCAGCACTCAGGAGGCAGCGGCAGGCAGATCTCTGTGAGTCTGAGGCCAGCCTGGTTTACAGAGTGAGTTCCAGGACAGCCAGGGCTACACAGAGAAACCCTGCCTCAAAAAAAAAAAAAAAAAAAAAAAAAAAAAAAAAAAAGCAATGAATAAATAAATAATGAAAAAGAAGATGGGAGCGTGAGGAGTTCAAGGTCAGCCGCCACTGCGCATTGAGTTTGAAGCCAGCCTAGGTGACATGAGACCTGGGTATGGTGGCATATGCTGTAGCACACCTGAAACAATTTTGCTTACCTAACTGCATTTTGGTGTCACTTATCTAATTGAAAGCCACTCCCCCACCTTTCCCAGAGGAATTTCCATTCTTAAAAAAAAAAAAAAAAAAAAAAAAAAAACTTGTATTGCATGGGGTGGATCACTGGGGGACACTGTAGACAAGTATTTAAGTACTTAACTGTGTGAGTGTTAACTAAGATATATCAGTAAACAAAAGAGTCACAGAACAAGCTCTACGCCTAAGTAAACTTGTATGAATGTCGTAGATTATACTATACGTACAGTAAGAAAAGGAAAATAGCAATCAAGAGTGTCAAGTATCAAAATTAAATAGGGTGCCCAGAAAGGTTTCTCTGGGCCAATATGAACAGAAACGCGGAGAGCAGAGTGCAAATCTTGTAGATTTCTTGAGTAAAGAGCAACGCAAGGCAGAAAGCGACAAGCCAGGAAATGGTCCAGATTCTGAGCCTGAGTAAGCAATCAGAATACTAAATGTGGAGAAATTGGATATTCATAAGCATAAAAATGAACTTAAAGCTGGACATGAATAGGAAGTGAGGCAGATCTCGTTGGTGTTTCACTGGTGAATGGAAAAGCCAGGGGATAGCTCTGAGGATGTGTGCTTTCTGTTGCGTGGACTCTGGCATAGCTGTTAGATTAGGAAGAAAAAGTTGAGGGGTGGTTAATGCTAGTGATTATAACTTTTTTTGTTTTTTACAAGGACATTTTGAGCACGAATGTGGAAGTCCCCGCCTTTAATGCTAGCAGCAATTTTAGCGCACTAACTTGACGCGAGGGAAACTGCTGCCAACCGATTTCTGCTCCAGCAGTAATGACTAGACTAATGTGACATGCACTCAGCCGGGAGTCAGCCGGTTAATCTTTAGCACCCCTTTGCGCATGCGCTTCGCCGCCGAGCCCCCCCCCCAGAATACCGCGACTGCGCAGCCGTGGTCCCGCCTTCCATGGTCACGTGCCGTGAGGGCCGCAGCGTGGCGGCGGCTGTGGCGGTAGCGACGGCGGGCCGTAGGGCCACTGGAAGGTTTCCGGTTCCGGTGTAACGTTCGGGCTCCGTCTCAGGGGCTGAAGTTTGTGAGGTGAGTAGTGGCCCCGCGCCCCGAGAGGATAGCCTTTGCTCCGAGTGGCTGGACATGGCCCAGTCCGAGTGGAGGACTGGGCGGGAATGCTCGGCGGGAAGCAGGCTGAGAGGAGTGCCCGGTCCTTTGGGGGAGCGAGTCAGAATGGGCTTGCTGGAGGAAAAGGGCGGGGGCGGGAAGGAGCAGGGTGGGCAGACCTGCCCTGAGGTGAGGAGTTCGGTCGGACTCGGTGGGGCGGGGGCCATTGGAAAGACAGACATGGAAGCATTGGCTACCAGGGCTTGTAGCTAAGTAGTGTAAGGGATTCCTTCGGAAGCTGGGATTCTGCTACCTGCTCATTCATAAGACAGCGTCCTGCCTTCCTCTGCTCCCTTCACCCCCCACCCCCGTCCCCACACCGACGATGCCTCCTCCACGCTGTTATGGTTGAACATTTGGTTAGTGGCAACTCTGGTAACTGAAACTTTTTTATCCGTTGACTGCTCGTCTGCACATTTATGAAGAATCGGGTCGAATTTGAAGACGTTCATTTGGTTGGTAGTGTAATGCTTGGGCTCACATCCAATCTGCTAATATGCTTCAACTATTACTTTGGATTTTGAAATTGCTTACGCTCTATCCTATTAATTCAATTGTAGTTAGTTGTAAGCCCCATTAAAGGATTCTTGACTGTCTTGATCACTGCTGTATGTGTCCTTAGTTATTTATTGAATGGAGTGCTATGCCAAATGTTCCTGTTTCCTAAGATAGTAAACTGAGGCTCTGGGGATTAACTTGATTGCATAAGGACAAATAAGAGTGGTGGTTAGTGTTTATACTGTTTCAGTGAGCTTTTTCTCCACTCTTGTTAGTGCTTGTGGTCCAGAAATGCTATCACAGGATAATTCACAAAACTTGTCCCTGAGGAACAGCCTTCCAGCTTCATTCAAATATATCACTGTTAATACTAAATGGTGATAGATCTTATGAGGAATTAATCTGTTAAGAATGCAGGAGCTAATTAGACTGCATCTTTCTGTTTTATGACAAGGTCTCATGTAGCCAAGCGTGACTTTGAACTCTGTAGCCAACCAAGGCTAGACCCAAACTCCTGATTCTCCTGTCTTTACCTCCTTTGTGCTGGAGTGACAGTCTTGTATGATCTAGATGTCTAAAAACATCTTGAAAGATTAATTCTCAGATCCTACCATGATACACAGCAGTGCTCAGGGGAGGCCACCTGGGGAGTTGAGGTCAGTGCAGTTCCTTGATTGCTATACAGCTATTTCAAAGAAAATCAGAAGTGAAGTTTTTTCTATGCTTGTGAGGATATTTGAGAGTTAAGGTTTACTTTTATCCAGAGGTAAGCATGAGTAGTGCTGCAATTTATACCAACTTGAATTAAGTAATAGAAGTTTGTGTGGAGAGTTTGGAGCTAATAAATAAAAGAATAAAAGTGAGAAGGGAGAGACTTGAAAACATGAATAGCCTTTTTCTGAGTTTAGGGATTTATTCTCATTAAGTCAGCTAACAAGTTCTATAGAGTGTGATATTGAATTACTGGTATATAGAATGCTCACCACCATGAATAAAACTACAAAGAATTGTGACAGCATTCTTAAGGGTTATGAAATTTTGATACAGGAGGATTGACTTGGATAAGCCCTCTTTTGCATCCCTTAGAAAACGTGTTAGGTGAGAGCTAGGTTCTAGCTCTCTAGAATGCCTTCCAGAGGAGGAGGACTAGTAAAATTGACTTCTAGATTGACTCTCTTTTGTTTCTTGCTTTGTGCTGGAATTGCTAGATTGACTCTTTAATATTATGTTTGTCCTTTGTATGACAGGGTCGGAAGTTTGAACTCATTCCTCAGACTAGGTTATTCCTGGTTTGTTTATTCTTCAGATAGCATTGATGACTGACACTGAATTAGAATTAAAACATCAAATGAGGGGGGCATAGTGGTGTACTCCCATAGTCCCTCACTGGGCAAGTAGAGGCAAGAGGATTGCAAGTGTTAAATTTTTCATGAACTACATAGTGAGACCCTATCTCAAAAACCAAAAAAAGTTGCTGGACAGTGGTGGTGCACACCTTTAATCTCAGCACTTTCGAGGCAGAGGCAGGTGCCTCTGAGTTGGAGGCCAGCCTAGCCTACAAAGTTCTAGAACATTCAGGGCTGTTACACAGAGAAACCCTGAGTAGGTACAGGAACTAGAAAAGCTAATGGGACACTGCTTCCTGAAGCTTTGAAGCTTGGCTTTTGGGGGAAACACTTCATTTTAAGAGGAGGGCAAGACTAGGGGTTGGAAATAGGGTTGGGGAAAGCATCCCTTCCTATTCTCTTATCCTGACTTTTCCGTTTTATTTCCCTTTTCTCTAGCACTTGCTTGGTTTATTTTTAGGTGAAGTATTTCTTCCCATTTGAGCTATCATTCTCCTTTTCCCCCAAATGGCTCTGTCTAAGCGAGAGCTGGATGAGCTGAAACCATGGATAGAGAAGACGGTGAAGAGAGTGCTGGGTTTCTCCGAGCCCACAGTGGTCACAGCAGCATTGAACTGTGTGGGGAAGGGCATGGATAAGAAGAAGGCAGCTGGTATGTACCTTTCTGATTCTTCTTACTTAAAGTGTAAATTCATTCCAGACATTGATTTCAACGTCCCCAGATTATGGGCAAATCAAAGAAAAGGTCAGACTAGTGAACCTCTCCCGATTCTACCACATTTTTTCATTTTGTTTTGTTTTTTGGGACAACATCTGTGTAGCCTTGTCTGGCCTGGAACTTGCTATGTAGACCAGGCTGGCCTTGAACTCATAGCGATCCACCTGCCTCTGCCTCCTGAGTGCTGGGGTTAAAGGTGTATACTACCCTCCTCACCCTCCCCCCCCCTTTTTTTTTTTTTATAAAGACAGGGTTTAGTGGTGCCCAGCCTGGCTTCCAAATCGTTATGTAGCTGAGGATGGCTTAAGACTTATGGCTCTCTTTCCTCTGTATCAGTAGTTCTCAACCTGTGGGTCTCAATTCCACAGGGGTCACATCAGATATCCTGCACATTACAATTCATAACAGTAGCAAAATTACACTTATGAAGTAGCAATGAAATAATTTCATGGATATGAGGAACTGTATTAAAGCACTGAAGCATTAGGAAGGTTGAGAACCAGTGCTCTACATCTGAAACCTGGGATTATAAGCATGTACCACACATGGCTTTTGCAGTCCTGGAGATGGAGAAAACCAGAACCTAGACAAACACTGTACCAACTGAGCAATACCCTCTCTCCTTATTTTTCCTTCTGTTATAACGGGAAAAACTTAAATATATCTTTTCCTTACTCTTTAATATTTGTGGCACACTAATAAATCAGTCTTTGACCATCATCCCCAAGTCACCTAAGTCAAGTTTGCTTAGGAAACACTGTGCAGTCAAATAGTCTGATCCGATCGATACCTTAGAGTGTGGAAGTCTAATAAGATACATGAAAAGGGACAGGGAGGTGGGTTTGCTGGTAGTCTTCTATGATTTGTTGTATAGGAAAAGTTTAAGTGATGTGATATTTATCTTTTCGGATGCAGGGGATTAGACCCAAGCCTTTGTGTCTGTCAAACAAAGTACGCTTCCAGTGAGCTACTTTCTCAGCCCTCATCTTAAACTTTGAATCTTAATTTAAGCAAATTTCTCTGGCTATACTACTTTTTGCTCCAAAAAAAAAATTGGAACATTTTACCTCATATATCAGGGTCATTAAGTATGTCAGAAATTAGGAATTACAAAAACTATTTACTTAGTTATGAAGACAAAATTTCACTATTTAGCCTTAATTGTACTCTGCCTCCTGAGTACTGGATTTAAAGACATATATTGTCATGTCTGAAGCTATTTTTACTTTATTTTTTATGTGTATAAGTGTTTCATTTACATTTATGTATATGCCCCAGAAGTGTGCAGATAGCTAGAAGAGTCAGATCCCCTAAAACTGAAGTTACAACAGACAGTTGTGAGCCTCCATGTGGGTACTGGGAATCAAACTTAGGTCTCTGGAAAAGCAGCCAGTGCTCTTAATTGATAAGGCATCTGTTGAGCCACTACAGTTTATGGTTTTAAGTTTGTGGAGGGGTATGTGAGGGAAGATAAATTTATGTGTGTGAGGGAAGGTGCCCTCAGAGGGATTAGATTCCCCTGAGGACATGGGTAGTTTTCAGCAGCTCATTCTGGATTCTGGGTACCAAACTTGGGCCCTCTGCAAGATCAGTGTGTGCTCTTAACCCTTTCTGTAGTCCCTTACCAGGAAGTTTTTAAAATGTTTTTTTCCCTGAGCTGGAGAGATGGCTCAGCGGTTAAGAGCACTGGCTGCTCTTATGGCAGACCCAGGTTCAATTCCTAGCACCTACATGTCAGGTAACGGCTGTCTAACTCCAGTTCAAAGGGATCCAGGGCTGTGTTCAGTGCTATCTACTGTCCTCCTCCGGCATGCAGCATGTGTAGTCAAGGCATAAAATTACCTTAAATATGAAGAGCAAAACCTTTTTCCCTCCTATGCTAGTCTGCTGTTTATTACATGTTTGGTATTGGACTATATACCTTTACTTTTCAATCTATGGCCTCCTTTTTCCTGTCAGATCACCTGAAACCTTTTCTTGATGATTCTACTCTCCGATTTGTGGATAAGCTGTTTGAGGCTGTGGAAGAAGGCCGAAGCTCTAGACATTCCAAGTCTAGCAGTGACAGAAGCAGAAAGCGAGAATTAAAGGTAGGTTACGGTCACTATCTAATAAGCCCAGGAGTGTTTGGAATAAGAAATGTGCTGAGCTTACCTGCTTACACTTTCACATCTACTAATAGAACACCTAGTGTTGGGGCTAGGGTTATAGCTCAGTAATAGAGTGCTTAGTGCTTACCCAAGCATGTATGAAATCCTGGGCTCAATCCCAATACTGCAACAAATAAAGAGTTAAAAACAACAATAAAATAGAACACCCAGTGTTCAAGAAGGAGCCTGAGACATTAGAGGAGTAGGATTTATATTATCACCATCCTTTGATTATGAGAAAGATTCATTTGAAATAGTCCAAGGAAGTAATTGATAGCTTTGTCCTTTCCTTTTTCATACATCATTTCGTTTCCACAATTCCCTCTTTACTACCTATAAACTGATGTAAGGACCATGGCCTAGTAAGGTGCTTCATAATGTCTCCAATGCTTCCTGACCGTGGACCTTAGTGTTGTTCATTAATAGAGATTTCTATTTAATATACTTGTAGATAAGATGCCTGAAACTGCCGTATAGTCCACCTTTGTTGTATGTGGTCACTGGCTCCCTGAGTGGCATGTGTGAAAGACTTAGAAATACTCTCTTTTTTGCCAAGTGCTTATTCTGTGGTTATTGTGTAGTCAGGGCCTTTGTACATATGAGTAGTGTCAAGTAGCTGATCTCTTATCTCAGTTCCCCAATAGAGTCCATTTCTCTGTCAGACTTCCTTTTGCCTCTCCTGGGTTTTTGATTGTTTTGTTCTGAGATAGGTTCTTACTATATAGCTAGCTCTGCCTGCCTTGAACTGTGATGTTCTGAGTACTAGGGTTGCAGGTGTGTACCATGATCAGCTTGTCTTTGTCTTTAATATGTTTTCTTTTGTTTGTGGATTTTTTTTTGTTTTGTTTTGTTTATGGGGTTTTTTATTAAAGATTCATTTAAAGTTTTTATGTATGTGTATGCATACAGATGCTCTTAAAGGTCAGAAGAGGGTTTCAAATCCCTTGGTGCTTGAGTTACAGGTGGTTGTGAGCCTGTACTCACTCTTAACCTATGAATTGTCTCTTCAGCCCTTGTTTTGGATTTTTGAGACAAGATCTTGCCACCAAGCCCAGGCTGACCTCAAACTCAGGTTTTGGCCTAGCCTCCTGAGTGCTAAGATTCCAAGCTTGTACCATCATATTCACTGTAAAGTGCTTTAGATACCTCGGATATCAGTTGCTGGTCCTAAGACACCAAAAAAAGATAAATAGTGACTTGTCTGGAGCCCGTGGCCACGTTATAGGACCAAGAAATACAGAAATTCCTTTCCCTTTGGTTTTTACAGCATTATAGGGTGATCAGAAAAATTAGACAACATCCTTGCCTGAAATCAGTCTGCAAATTAGAAGTGAGGAATTTCAGTAAATCAACCATAGATTATAAAACCTGAATAGCAGTTTTGTTTAATGTTAGAACTGATTATAGAATTTCAGACTTGTGTTAATCTTAAGAGGTATGAATAGTCCACATACCGTACAGATCAACAGAGTGAAGATTATACATATGATTGTACATGTCACTGTAAGTGCCAAGCTCACGCTGTGATTGAATTGACACAACATTGGGTGGGATAGTAGAAATGGTTTCTTGAAGGAGATAATCTAGATAGCATGGGATATGGGTCCCATTTTTGGTCCATTCAAGTCCCCACTCCACACAATATATTATGGGAGAGTCCTTTTTCTTGAACTGTAGGAGTTCCAGGAAGCGCTCGCCCCTGGCTGAGGATATGTCCTTGCAAAACACGAGCCCTCCTAGTGAAGAGGGGATGTCACCCAAAGCCTACCACCGGTGTGTACATTTGCTTTTTCCCATTGTCCCTTCCAGTTGGCCACTCTTGGTCCTATTAAATTCATTTTGCAAATTAGTCAACATATTTGAGTTCCCATTGTATGATAGAAGAAAATGTTATTGGGGAATACTAAAAAAGAAAAAGCCTCTTTTCTGGAAGAACTTAGATTTTAATTGGGAGAAAGTATTCCCTAACACTTGGCAAACAGTGTCAGCAGTATAATGTAATCTAATATGAACCAAGTTGTAAGTGCTTAAGAGGATGTGGAAGAACAGTTTGATCAGAGTGGGATGAGATGATGAGGAAAACTTCCTGGAGGAGGTGAGTTTTAGAAAGGATTTATGGGAAAGGATTGGAGGAAGAGCACTTCAATGTAGGCAGTAGCATTGGCGAAGATCTTGAGATGGGAACATTTATAAGAACATGGGGATGAAATTTGCTTGAATTGGGTAGGAAATTGATGAAGTTGGGTGAAATGGTCCAGTTGGTGGACTCTAAAAGACCCTTTCAAAGCTATGTGAAAGATTGTATCATATTCCCCTGGGAAAAACACAGGATGCTTGTAGGGTCGGGATGGTTCTTCAGTCTTTCCCCTAGGGAGGGATACAATTCTTTTTTCATCTTGGGTTCCTTTAGGAGGTGTTTGGTGATGACTCTGAAATCTCAAAGGAATCATCAGGGGTAAAGAAGCGGCGAATACCCCGTTTTGAGGAAGTAGAAGAGGAACCAGAAGTGATCCCTGGGCCTCCATCAGAAAGCCCTGGCATGCTAACAAAACTCCAGGTTAGTTAAAAGAAGCAAAATGATTTTGTGAGTTAAAACAAATGGCACATGGGTCCAAGTTCACTGTGATCTTGTTTTCAATTAGTGTTAACCATTTGGGGAAGTTTTATTTCCTACTTTATATGCCAGCAGTCCTCGGTTTGATCAGAAACAGTCCAGCTAAGGAGTATTAAAATTGTATTTATTGAGTACCTAGTGTGTATATCACTGTTTACCCAGTTGTCTACTGCATCATTGGGAAAATTAAATGAAATAATAGCCTGAGGCTTGACTATATCCTTAGAGCTTCTTCCTGGACTTCATTAGGACACAAAGGGTTTATAGGAACACCTCTAAAGAGGCCGGCACTGTTACCCATGGCTATCTTCAGTAGGATTTGAGGAGATGATAGCATGATTATTTTGAGACAAGGCTTAAAATTTAGCCCTGGCTGGCCTATGATTCCCTATGTATAGAAGAGACTGGCCTCATACTCAGAGATCTGCTTGCCTCTGCCTCCCAAGTGCTAAGATAAAGGTGTGTACCCACATGCCTGGCTGGTAATACATATTTTATTTTGTGCCTCTATGTGCCTAAGTATGTATATGTATACTGTGTGCATGCAGGAGCCTTTGGAAATTAGAAGTGTCAGATCCTCTAGAACTAGTTAAGAAATGGTTGTGAGCCACTGAGTGGGTGCTGGGAACTGAACTCAAGTCCTTTGCAAGAGTAGTTAGTGTTTTAGCTCTTAACCATCTCTCCAACCCTGCCCACCTTCTAATGTAGTAATTTGGTAGGAAGTGTGCATGCACTACTTTTCCCCCTTTTAGATTCTTGGGAGGTAAAGATATTAATGCCTTTCCAACATAATACAAGGAGGAAATGGCACAGTTCTAAATTCACTTAGTTTCAGTCACCATAATGGTGTATACTACCTCATATACCAGTCCAGCCTTGGGGGGAGGAGAGAAAGAAAAATTCTAGTGCTTAATTTTTATCTTATTTTAAGATTTATTTATCATATATACAGTGTTCTGCCTGCATGTGTGCCTGCAGGCCAGAAGAGGGCACCAGATCTCATTATAGATGGTTGAGAGCCACCATGTGGTTGCTGGGAATTGTACTCCGGACCTTCAGAAGAGCAGCCAGTGCTCTTAACTGCTAAGCCGTCGCTCCATCCTACTTAATCTTATAGGCTTATCTTTGCTAAATTTTCTTTTCTTTTTTCCCCCAAGATAGGGTTTCTCTGCGTAACAGTTCTGGCTATCTTGGTAGACCAGATTGGCCTCAAAAACCATCTTCCTGCCTCTGCCTCCCAAGTGCTGCGGTTAAAGGCGTGCACCATCATTGCCTGGCTCTTTACTAAATTTTCTAGTCTAGCTACAGTGTGTGTGTGTAGACAACTTTTAGGTCTCTAGAACTGAATGCTTTTTCATTTGGGAACATTTATGGAAGAAATTGATCTTTTCTAATTTTTCCCTCTGGAGAACAGATCAAACAGATGATGGAGGCAGCAACACGACAAATTGAAGAAAGGAAAAAACAACTGAGCTTCATTAGCCCCCCTACACCTCAGGTATTGTGTCCAGATTATTCTGAAAAGAATATTTAGCACAAAATGTGTTGTCATTCATTCACATGAGAGTCCAGAAAGTACCAACCACATTTACCTACCATAGTCATGATATGTATATATCTGTGTGCCTGTCTATTTCAAACCCTTGTATTTCTTTTCATTTCTGTCTTATAGCCAAAGACCCCTTCTTCATCCCAACCAGAGCGACTTCCAATTGGTAACACTATTCAGCCCTCCCAGGCCGCTACTTTTATGAATGATGCCATCGAGAAGGCAAGGAAAGCGGCTGAACTACAAGCCAGAATCCAAGCCCAGTTGGCTTTGAAGCCAGGGCTTATTGGCAATGCCAACATGGTGGGTCTGGCTAATCTCCATGCCATGGGCATAGCTCCACCGTGAGTATCTTTCACAGAATCCCTTATTACTTCTGAAGTTTTAGAAGTAGTAAATTAAAGGTAATTTATTATGGTACTGTATTTTTTTTTCCCCCAGAAACATTAAGTAATTTCTTACCATTTCACATTTTTTAATATATGATCTAAATACCAATTACATTTTTTTTGGCTTTGTTGAAGAATTTGTTGTGTTTATAATTGGTAGAACTAAAATAATATTTTTCAGCTAATATTGAAGGTAAGAATCAGGTTTCTGACTTACCACTCAAGAGCTTGAGCCATTAAACAATATTGAATGAGACCAGATGTTAGACGTGGGTGAGATTTAGTGGCACATACCTGCAATTCTATTACTCAGGAGGGAGAGGCAAGAAGAATGAGGTAAATATGAATTCTAGCCTAGTCTACATAACAAGTTTTAGGCTAACCAGGACTACATAGCAAGACCCTGTCTCAGTTTAAGATTGATTTAAGAATTTGGGAGCAGATGTTAGAGATGTATCCCAGTAGTAGAACATTTGACTAGCACACAGGAGGCCCTGGGTTCTTAATCCACAGTACCACCACCATCGCCACAAAAAAAAAAAAAAAAAAAAAAAAAAGGTGGGGGTTGAGGCTAGAGAGATGGCTCAGTGGTTAAAAGCATTGGCAACTCTTCCAGAGGTCACAGGTTCAATTCCAAGCACCCACATGGCAGTTTACAATTGTCTGTAATTTCAGCTCCAGGGGTTCTCTGATCCTCTCACACAGACATAACATGTAGGAAAAGCACCATTCATTGTACATAAAATATCAAAAGGGGGGCAGGCAGAAAGTGGCTTAGTAGTTAAGAGCACTTGCAGCAACTGTTCCAGAGGGTTAGGGTTTGGTTCCCATCACCCACAGGTTGGCTAATGGCATCTGTAAGTCCAGTTCCAGAGGACCTGAAAATAAATTTAAGACAAGAATTTAGGAATAAAACGAGATTAAATAACAAAGTTTTCTTCGCACTATTTTAGAATTAATTTCATTTGATTATATTCTGTATCCAGATACTCAGTTTGATCTATTTTTTGTGGATTTTTTTCCCTCAGTGCTAGGGTTAGAGCCCAATGGCAGTGTGATAGGCAAGTGCTCTAATAATGAGATATAACCCTAGCTATTTGTGTTTTCGCAGAAAAAAACAAAAGACTGATTTGTTTATTGTTTTGAGATTCATTTATTTTACATGTATGACTTTTTGCCTGCATGTATATCTATGTAGTACATGGGTACTTGGTGTCCACAGAGGTCAGAAGGGGACATTGAATTCCCTAGAACTCACATTACAGGTGGTTGTGAGCCCCAAGAAGATGCTGGAAAACAAACCCCAGCCCCACTGCTAAAGCAGCAAGTACTCTGAACTGCTGAGCCATTCTCCAGCCCCACTTTGATGTTGTAAACCCAGATTTTACTAAGCACTGATGAGGTTGCCTTCCCTAAAAGTATTTTACACAGTTGTCTTGGTTAGGCTGGTTTCTTTTGTTTCCATTGGGTTTTGCTTGCTTTAATGCTACATGTAGGATTTATTTCTTTGTGGACTTTTTTTCAGGAAAGTAGAGTTAAAAGATCAAACTAAACCTACACCGCTGATCCTAGATGAACAAGGTCGCACTGTAGATGCAACAGGCAAGGAGATCGAGCTGACACATCGGATGCCCACCCTAAAAGCAAATATTCGAGCTGTAAAGAGGGAGCAGTTCAAGCAGCAACTAAAAGAAAAGCCATCAGAAGACATGGAATCTAATACCTTTTTTGACCCCCGAGTTTCAATTGCTCCTTCTCAGCGACAAAGACGCACTTTTAAATTCCATGACAAGGGCAAATTTGAAAAGATTGCTCAACGATTACGGACAAAGGTAATTTAGAAGTTAAGACACTGTCAGCTTCCATGTTTTTAGGAATTAGATACATAACTTAAAACAATGAGTAATTAGTTTAAGTACTATATTCCCAAAATATTTGTTGTTAGCATATTTCTTTTACTGACTACTTTCTGCTTGTGTAGAAATGTTTCCCATAGACTGACAGTTGAGGAAAACAATTCAGATTGTCTTGACTTCCGGTGACAGATAGCCTGGTGTTAAAATTTACTACAGAAAATCCATGTAGTTGGGAAAGTTGAATTGAAATGACCTTTTTGTTCTCAGAGTGAGGTTTTCATAAAATTACACTAATGCATACCTGCTGCAAACTATGGAGCAAAGGAAGATAGGTAGAATGAGCGTGTAGATAAACTGAATAAAGAAATAAAATAAGCAGAATTGCTGGGGAGTGGTGGCGATCACTGATTTATCTAGGCCATCCTGGTCTGCAAAATGAATTCCAGGACAGCCAGGGCTGTTACACAGAGAAACCCTGTCTGAAAAAAGAAAAAAAAATAGATTAAAGAAAAATTTCTTTCTTATCTTTCATAAGTTATGAGTACATTGCATTAAGTATAAAGATTTTAACAAGGAGTATTTTTAAATTTGTAACTGTGACTTGCCATTTCTCAAACTTACCTTCCTGTTTTGTTTTACCTTGCTTTTAGGCTCAGTTGGAGAAGCTCCAAGCAGAGATCTCACAGGCTGCTAGAAAAACAGGCATCCATACTTCAACTAGGCTTGCCCTCATTGCTCCTAAGAAGGAGCTAAAGGAAGGCGATATCCCTGAAATTGAGTGGTGGGACTCTTACATCATACCCAATGGCTTTGACCTGTGAGTTTATTAGTTCCTACTAACAAGATGGTACATATGCGTCAAATAACACTTTAAATCCAAAGAAAATAGATAATTGCCCATACATATATTCTCAAACCTTCCTGAGCTATTTTTGCGTTTGGGGTTACTGTACCAGAATTAGAAACTTACAAGAGTGAGTCTATACAACATGTACCTACTTTTTTTATTTTTTTGGAGCTGAGAGATGAACTTAGGACCTGTCTTCTTTTGACACCTTTTAGAGTTTTACATTTTCTTCTTAGTATGTATTTTATATATGTTACATGTTTGTAAAGATCCATTTGTAGGACTGGGGACCTAGTTCAGTGGTTGAACACTTGCCTAGTGTGTAGAAGGCACTTAGGTATAATCCCCAGACCTACAAAAAAGAAAAGCTGGTAGGTGGGCAGTCGTGTGTGAGTGAGTGTGTGCTCATGTGAGGTGTGCCACTGCTTGTGTGTAGAGGTCAGAGGACAATTTTTAGAGTCAGGTTTTCCTCCCCCATTTTTGAAGGGATCTTTCTTGTTACTTCACTGTATTACACATCACATTTTCTTCCTCTAGTTCCCATCTGGTAGGAGTGTTGGGATTTCAGGTGTGTTTTGCCACAATCAGCTTGCTTTCTTTCTTTTATTTCTTTCTTTCTTCCTTTTTTTTTTTTTTTTTGTATATGCAGCAATGTTTTGCCTGAATACCTTGCAGGGGTGTGTATGTACACCACATGTTTGCCTAGTAGAGACCAGAAAAGTGTCATATGCCCTGGACCTGGAGTTATAGCTGTTTATAAGTCATTGTGTGAGTGCTAGGAATGGTCATCTGGAAAAACAGAAATGCTCTTAACCACTGAGCCATCTCTCTAGTAGTCCTCTTGCTTTATTTTATAACTAATTTCTTTTCCTTCCTTTGTTTGTTTGTTTTTGGTTGGTTTGGTTTGGTTTGGTTTGGTTTTTTGAGATGAGGGTTGAGATTTCTCTGTGTAACAATTCTGGATGTCTTGGAACTCACTTTGTAGACCAAGTTGGCCTCGAACTCATAGAGATTTGACTAACTCTGCGCACCACCACCACCTCTGTCCCTCCACCCCCGAATCTGGGATAAAAGGAGTGCACCAGCTTTATTTCTACCACTGCGGGCAGGGTGGGAGGTGAGTTAGTGAGATAGGGTCTCACTGTATAACTAGCCATGGCTGGCCTTGAACTCGAAGACATCCACCAGTCTCCTGGGTGCTAGGATTAAAGGTGTGTGCTACCACTGCTGGCATCTTTTTTAAGTATTAGTAATTGAATCTGCAACTTTATGTGGTTTTAAGTGTTCTATTACAGAGCTATAATTCCTATATCTAAGGCAAGAGTTCTTAATTGATGGGTGAAATAATGATAATCAAGCTTTATTAGCATTATCTGAGGAGCTTGTTCAGTTGGTAGAATACTACTTGCTGTTCAGGGTTTAGAACCTGAACTCAGTGGTTAAAAAGCCAGGTGTTAGACTCAGAAACTAAGAGTACTTGTTGGTCTCTCAGAGAACCTAGATTCAGTTCCCACCATCTACATGATGGCCAATAACCACCTGTAGTTTCAGCTATAGGATATCTGACTCTCTCCTCTGACCTGTAGGTGCCAGCACATACATTGGCACACATATATAAATGCATGTAGAACATTAAATAAAAACTGAAATAAAGCCAGGCAGTGGTGGCACACACCTTTGATCACAGCACTTGGGAGGCAGAGATAGGTGGATATCTGTGAGTTTGAGGTCAGCCTTGTCTTTGGAGGAAGTTCCAAGACAGCTGGTGTGAGAGCATGCACTTATGTGTGCCAGGCGTGGTATAATGGTGCATCCCTGTAATCCCAGCTCTGGGGTGGGCAGGGACAGGAGGATTCTTAGAACTTACTGGCAAGCCAGTTTAACCAAATAAATAAGCAAGGTCTAGGTTCATTGAGAGTGGAATCACCTGAAAAGAGTAAGGTGGAGAACGTTGAAAAAGGCACTCAACCTCCCCTCGGGTGTACACATCCACAACATACATACACATGAACATGTACATAGACAAAAACTATTTTGGAGAATTTTGTATCTGTTTGTCATACTGATTGATACATGACTTCAGGAGCTTTATCTTTTTTAAAAAAAAAAATTGTCAGTCAGCGTGCTTCTTAGTGACTCATTGTTACTAACAAGAAAATACGCTTGGAACTGGAGAGATGGCTCTGTAGTTAACAGTACTGGCTGCTCCTCCAGAGAACCCAGATTCAATTCTCAGCACCTGCATGGCAGCTCACAACTGTCTGTAACTCCATTTCTAGTGATCTGTGTGAGGGATCTGGCACCCATACACACAGGCAAAATACCAATGCACATAAAAATAAGTCAGGAAAAGCAAATAGGCTGCCTACCAGGGATATTAGAGTTAATACTGAGATTAGGAATGGCTAGTATAGAGAACATGTCCAACATTTTTGAGACCCTTTTTTCTCAGTTTGAAAATAATATATAACCTAAGTACCTGGTATAAGTAATATGTAGTAAATAGAGTAGAACCCATAGAGAACAGATTATTTTTTCATTGTGTCTCTAGGCTACTCTTGTTATCATCTCTACCCACATATCTTGTTTTCTCTTCTTCCTCCAATTTCAGTACAGAGGAAAATCCCAAGAGAGAAGATTATTTTGGAATTACAAATCTTGTTGAACATCCAGCCCAGCTTAACCCTCCAGGTAATGTTTGTATTATCCAATTTATTATGATTATCCAATATTATAGATTATGATTGTAGAGCAGCATTAGCCAATAGAACGTTACACAGAATGGAAGAGTTCTCTGCCTGTGCTTTCCAACCTATAAACCGTGCTATCCACACATGATTGTTGTGCCCTTGAAAACTGAGTTGCACTAGTTAAGCTGAAAGCCTTGTATTTTAAATTTTAATTAAGTTAAGTAGTATAACAATCTGATGACTACAGACAACATCGAGATCAGTTACCAAATCCAGGCCTCATCTGTAATTGGTCTCGATGGATACCACAAAAGTGGGACTTTGTCATTATGCTGATTCCACCACTTCTGACATTATTGTGTTTACTATTTATTCTGCTGTTTCGTTAGTTTGTTTAAAGAAAGGTCTCTCTTTGTAGCATTGCTCACTATGTAGACTACTGGCCTACTGGCCTGGTACTTGTAGACATCCTCCTGCTGCCTGCTCCCCCTCCCCCCCAAGTGCTGAGAGCAAAGGTCTGCACCACCAGGCCTCTTACTCTTCCCTTGCTGTGTTTTGGTTGTTTTCCTACCCTGGCTTCCCTTAGCATTGTTAGCATTAAAATCTAACTAATGCTTCAGATGCCCATTATGCTATTTGTTAATTAAATGTAAGCCTACTTGTTTGTTCCTGTGCCTGGATGGGGGTAAGGGTGTGGAATGGTGAAGAGTCTGTTGGAGACACAGTCTCTAGCCTGAAAAACTGAAAAATTGGAAATGCATGCTAATTCACTCACTTCTCCAAATCTGGAATTTCTTTGGGTGTTTCCTAGCAATGGCCACCACTAGTGTATGCACCTCAAGTGCCATAGCACTCATGTGGAAATCAGGGTACAACTTGAGAGTCACATGTTGCTGGCCCCATGTGTGGTAATTGGCTTTGTTTAGTCTTTTTTTTTTTTTTTTTTTTAAGTAAATGTCTGGTAGTTCAGTCAAAAGAGGTGTCTATAAATCCACCATCCACCACTATGGATACTTGTGATTCAGTGTTGGGATACATATGATTTAACTTGAGTAATGTGTAGTTTAAGATAGAGACAGCAGAGGTTGTAGTTGTTGCTGATTTCCGTAGTTGAGTGTCTTCAGTAAGTCATTTAGAGCATTAAGAATTTTCTCAGAACAGCTGATAAGCCATCTTTATAAAATTATGTACTCACTGAAGTCTGGCAGTGGTATTACATGCCTTTAATGCCAACATGTGGGAGGCAGAGGCAAGGTACATCTCTATAGATGGTCTACAAAGTGAGTTCCAGGCCAGCCAGGCCTATACAGGGAAACCCTGTTCCCAAAAACAAAAGTTAGCTGGACATGATAGCACATGCTTCTGTAGTCCTAACACTGAGGAGGCTGATGTAGATAATCACTCCCACATTTGAGGTAACCTGGGATGCATAGAAAAACCCTGTCTCAAACTAAAGAAAACCAAGAATGTTATGTAGATCCTAAAGGATTCTAATACTTTCTTTCTCTCAGGATGAATTGAGATAATGCCATAGTAGCAAATTTACTTGGCAATAGTTCCAGTAAGTTCACAAAAATATATTGAGACCGTAAGATAAAGGACAGACATCCTTTGTTCGAAATGTTTGACACAAAAGTGTTTCAGATGCTTATTTTTCTTATTTTGAGATTTGCATAGCATTTGAACATTTCTAATGTGGATTATTAGTAATAGTCAAGAGGTTTTATTTCAAGGGCAAAGGTAAAGTATTTGATGCACAAGTATGAGGACTGGAGTTTGGATCCTTAGTGCCTGCATAAATTCCCAGCAGGTGTGGTGGCCTGTTTGTGGTTTCCCTGAGGAGGTAAAGATGACCCCCCTGAGTTCCAGTATATAAAGTAGAGAGCAATCAAAGATACCAGTTTACTTCTGGTGTACATACACACAGCATACACATATGGATATGCATGTGTGTCTGCACACCACACATATACAAAAATTAAATTTGTGAAGCTTCCTGGATGTCTGAAACTGGGAATGTAATTCAGTTGATAGAGTGTTTACCATGTATGCTTTAACCCTAGACTGAATCCCCAGCTCTGCATAAACAAAGTGTGGTGTCACATACTTTAATTCCAACACTCAAAAGGTAGAGAGACAAGAATATTAAAAGTTCAAGGTCATTCTCAGATACAAGCTGAATTTAAGGTCAGCCTGGGATACATAAAACCCTGTCCAAAAAACATTATGGATTTGGCGTATTTTAACCTATAATACAGGTTAAAATCAGGAATTTAGCTTGGTCAGATTCTATTTAACCGTCATAAGTATGTATCTGAGGAATGTGAGATTTTGTTTTGCTTTGTTTTTTAGAGACAGGGTTTCTCTGTGTAACAGTTGTGGCTGTACTAGAACTTGCTTTCTAGACCAAGCTCGACTCGAGCTCAATGAGATCCACCTACTTCTGCCTCCTAAGTGTTGGGATTAAAGACATGAACCATCACCATTCAGCTGTACTTTTTTTTTTTTTAAAACAAATTTATTTTTATTTGGGTCTGGGGATGTTGTGGGAGTAGTGTGGGTATGTATGCATACACACACGCACACACGCCGGGTGGTGCTTTTGATGGCCAGATCCCCTGGAACTGGAGTTTACAGGCATTGTGAACTACAGATTATGGGTACTGGGAATCGAACTTGGGTCCTCTGGAAGAGCAGTAAGTACTCTTAACTACTGAACCATCTCTCTAGCCAGAATCCTTCCACAGAATTCCCCCATTGAGGTGTTGTTTCTATAGTGGTTAGCATAGCTTCATTCCCAAGACAAAACTTATTGCTATGCGGGTCAGTGATTTTTAAATTGTATTCCATGGAAATAACAAAGTTCAGAAAGTAGGATTTGAGTGAAATTCTAGAAACTTTTACTTCTCCAATTCCTTACCTGTTTACACATTGTATTTGGTGAAAGTAGTCAACCATTTAAGGAAAAACAACTTAGAACATTATTTTTCAGAGATTGATACTTAACATTTAGTAAAACATAACCAAATTATCCCTCTCACCACTTAGTAACTAATGAGCCGAGCACAGTTATGAACGCCTGTCATTCAGCAGTTTTGAGGTGGAAGCAGTAGGTGGAGTTCACGGCCACTCTGGGCTACGAAGAAGACTGTTTCAACCTCCTCCCTCTGTTCCCCTATGTGATGGAGACTTACCCAAATCCTTCTGTGATCTTAAGCTTTGGTAACTCGGTTTCCTTTCTCATAGTCGACAATGATACACCAGTTACCCTTGGGGTATATCTTACAAAAAAGGAACAGAAGAAACTTCGGAGGCAAACGAGGAGGGAAGCACAGAAGGAGCTTCAAGAGAAAGTCAGGCTTGGTCTGATGCCTCCTCCAGAACCCAAAGGTATGTGTCTACTGGCCCTGCTACCATGAAGTCAGTCAGTCAGTATGTCTACCTTTTTGCACCTAGAGGCACTTTAAGTGGCTGGGGTGTTTTTGTTTTTCTGAATCATTCACAGGTTCTTTCTTTCTTTCTTTCTTTCTTTCTTTTTTTTTTTTTTCTCTGTAATCTATGCTGTATTTCCTTGTGACAGATCAAGACATTCTATTAGAGAAGTCATTTAGGACTTATTTTTAAGAATTATTTGCTGTACTGGTTCCCGCAGGCAGGCAGATCTCAGAGGTTGGGGCAGCCTTGTCTACAGAGTGAGTTCCAGAACAGCCAGGGCTACATAGAAAAACTCTCTCTAGAAAAAAGCAAACAAAATCATGAAGACAATAGTTATAGTATTTATGGAATTTTATACATAATTCTTAGTATATAGACAGGCATGATGGTACTGACTGGTGATCTTAGGACTTGGGACTGTGAGGCCAGAAGATCTCATGTTACAGACTAACCTGTATTACACAGGAAGTTCCAGGCCTGTCTTACTACATAGTGAGACACTATCTCAAAAAAAAAAAAAAGTGGGCATGGTTGTGAACACCTTTAATCCCAGAAATCAAGAGGAATCATAGGTTGACGTGGTCTATGTAGTGAATTCTGGGTCAGCCATGGCTACATAGAAAACGACCCTGTCTCTAACAACAACAACAAAAAAAAACCTTTTCAAAAACAAACAAAACAAAAAATACAGAGCTAAGCTTGGTGATACTCACATGTCTTCCCAGTACTTAAGTATCTGGGGCTTAGGAATGGCAAATTTGATGCCAGCCAAGGCTGTATAGGGAGACCCTCTCTCAAGAAAACAAAAATAGCCAGGAGATAGTGGCACACAACTTCGAGGCCAGCCTAAACTACAGATGGAGTTTGAAGGCTAGCCCCATAGCTACTGAGAAACCCTGTTTCAAAAAAAAGGGGAAAAGAAAAGAAAAGCTAGAGAGATGGCTCAGGGTTAAGAATACTGACTGTTCTGGAGAGGACCTAGCTTTAGTTCCCCCAGCATCTAGATGGCAACTTTGTACCATCTCTAACATCCCTCGTCAGTCCGTAAGCATGCACACAGGGTGCACTTACATACTCACAGGCAAAAGATTCATATACAGAAAATAAAACTGAAGTCTTGTTGGGGAGAGTTTCTGTATATCCCTGGATATCCTAACCTGCTTTGTAGAGAGATCAGTCTGCTCTGCCTCTGCCTCCCAAGTGCTGAGATTAAAGGCATACACCACCACTCCCTGGCTTATAAGGTTTGGGTTTTTTTAATGCTGATAAATGAGAAATAAATGTTTTTTTTTTTTTAATGATAAAACTATACTGAATTTTTTAGATGGTTTGACCAAGTGGGATTTTCAAGGTAGAAATTATTGTAGAAAGTGAATTTGAGCAGAGATTTGAAATAAGCAGTGTTTGTGAGCAGAAAACAACAACAGAACAGATTGCCCTACCTAGAGAAATAACTTAGGAGATTAAGAGATTGATTGTTGTCCTTTCTCCATTGTAGTGAGAATCTCAAATTTAATGCGAGTATTAGGAACAGAAGCAGTTCAAGACCCCACGAAGGTAGAAGCCCACGTCAGAGCTCAGATGGCAAAGAGACAGAAGTAAGTGTGGTGGGTTGGGTGGGACCCAGGACACTGCCTTTCCAGACCCTCGTGGGGTCCATATTGAAGGGAGGGGAGAGTCCTCTGTTGCTCTCTCTTTCCCTTAGCCCTGCCTCTGATCTGCAATGCCTTTCTCACTTGTGGATGTCCTTCCTGTCACGACAGAGCGCACGAAGAGGCCAACGCTGCCCGAAAACTTACAGCAGAACAGAGAAAGGTCAAGAAAATTAAAAAGCTTAAAGAAGATATTTCACAGGGGGTGCACATATCTGTGTATAGGTAGGTGTCCATATAGGCAACTGCCTCCAAATTTTTTTCTTTTTTGAGACAGGGTCTCTACATAGTCCCAGCTGTCTAGAACTTAGAGATCTACTTGCCACTGCCTCCCCAGTCCTGATATAATGGTGTGCTCCATCATAACCCAATGCTTAGGGCAGAATCACTGTAGCCTTTAAAACATACCTACCACATTATGCATCCTTTGTGAAGTATAAAATGCCTCATTCCTCTAGAAAGCATTAATTTTTGTTTGTTTGATTGGTTTTTGTTCTTCAGAGGGTTTCTCTGTAACAACTCTGGCTGTCCTGAGCTTTAATTTTTGTTTTCTTCAGTATTCTGTCTTTATCTTGATGGACTGTAGTAGGCCTTCCCTCCTCACTCCAGAATATATTTGTACCCTGGAAATATATATTTACTTTTGTTTCTTCATTTTATTCTTTTTGTGTGCCTTCTATTTTTTAGATGCACTTACTTCTATTAACTACTAATTCTCGTTTTTTTTTTTTTATTAACTAATTCTTTATCAGAAGTAGTACATTATTATGAAACTAGTATTTATTCAGATTAGAACTTTGGACCAAGTGGGATGATACAACACATAAGAGAAGCAGGACAGTTTCAAGTTGGAGGCATCTAGAGGGGACAGAATTTAAAGGTTTTTGTACTCTCTGGAACAATGAACTTATAAGTACTTTGGATGATAATAAGTACCTCTTCTTCATTCATGGAGTAAATTCTAACTACAATGCTGAAACATAGTACAAGTACTTGGGAGGCATATGCCGGCAAATCTCTTGATCTATATAAGTTCCAGGCCAGACAGACCTACATAATGAGACCCTGTCTTTAAAAAAAAAAAAAAAAAAGGAAGGAAGAAATGTATTTACAAGAGAGTAGAAATATAGTTCTGTATTTAGGTCTTGATTGTTTAGAAAGATGAACATTTTAGATCCTTCTTTATTTGCCATTCCATTCAGACAATTTTGATGGTAAACTGAAGACGTAACTAAAATTTCCCTCCTCTAGAGTTCGAAATTTGAGTAACCCAGCCAAGAAGTTCAAGATTGAGGCCAATGCTGGGCAGCTGTACCTGACAGGGGTGGTGGTACTGCACAAGGATGTCAACGTGGTAGTAGTGGAAGGGGGTGAGTGTGCAGAGAATCCAGAGAAACTGTCACTAGACAGCCCTGACCCTAAAGTGATTGGCATTGTGGGGAGAGGGAGAGGGAGAGAAAGAAACTGATATGTGTCTGTTTCTGTGTGTGCTGCAGTAGAAGGCCACACTTTGGATCCTGGGGTTAGTGCACCTACTCAGTATTGTCTGAGCATTAGACAAGCTCAGAGGTTCTTTCTATTGTGTCTTTGCAACTCTCAAACTTCTCTTTCTAGGCCCCAAGGCCCAGAAGAAATTTAAGCGTCTCATGCTACACCGGATAAAGTGGGATGAACAGACATCTAACACAAAGGGAGATGGTGAATTGGGGTTAGACGGGATTAAATGGGAGCGCTGTGGGAGGTGGGGATAATAGTTCTTCTATTCCTCTTTCACCCTTCCTGAAATTCTCTAGTGTTTCAGACAGACTTACTCGATTTTGTTTTGTTAGGTGTTGTGAGACAGCGTCTCACTGTATACCTCTGGCTGGTCTTGAACTTCTAAGATCATCTGCCTCTCTGCTTTCTCGGCACTGGGGTTAAAGGTGTTTGCCACCCTGCTCAGCTAGGCTGACTTACTTAGACAGTACAGCTATATGTTTACGCAGTGTTTATTGCATTATCATACAAACTAGTATTAAAAATTAATTTTTTACATATCCTTTAAGGATTTTCTCCCAGGTGGCTTCCCTCTCTGCCTTGGTTATAAATTCTGGTTTCAAGAGTATACTTAAAGTCAGCAAGCTATGAGTTCATGTATACAGTATGTATCCCATATTATTTAGTCCTTTGGGGGGATTCGAAATAGGGTTTCTCCATGAAACAGTCCTGGAACTCATTCTATGGACCAGGCTGGCTTTGAGCTCATAGAGACTTGCCTCTCTCTACCTCTCATGTGCTGGAATTAAAGACATGTACCTAGGTAGTCAAAAGTTTCTTGTTAGATATCACACTGTGGTTCGCACCTGTAATCCCACCACTTATGAGGATGTCCTAGGAGCTCAAGGCCATCTTGAGCTATGTAGCAGTTTTAAAGCAGCCTAGGCTACATAAGTTTCCATCACACACACAAAAAAATGTTGGTGTTTTTATTTGCTCCAGCTCTAGTGTTATCTACCTGTAACCCCAGCACTCACAATATGGAGTTAGAAGGTAGGAAGATCTTGGGTTTGAAACCACTAAGGAGATATGGACTACATATCCAACCCCTCCTCCCAAAAAAAATATTTTTTTTTTTGAATTTTTGCCTGTATAAAAACATTTTTCAGAAAGCTGTCTTTGAACAGGAGAAGATACTTTGGGTTTTGTTGTTTTGGGGGCCTTTTTTCCAGGTGTTTTGTTTGTTTTTTCAAGACAGGGTTTCTCCGTAACAGTCCTGGCTTCTCTGGAAATCTCTTTGTAGACCAGGCTGGCCTCGAACTCACTGAGATCTACCTGCTTCTGCCTCCCAAGTGCTGGGTGGGATTAAAGGTGTATGCCACCACCACCTGCCTCTTATTGTTATTTTGAATCAGGGTCTCAACTATGTAGCCCTGGTTGGTCTGAGACTTTGTATATAGAACTATCTGGCCTCATATTCAACAGAGATCTACCTTCCTCTGTCTTCCATCCAAGTACTAGGATTAAAGGCATAGACCATCCTGCTCAACCACAGAACATATACTTTGGAGCTAGAGCTGGAGTTTAGTGGTTAAACATTTAACATGGTAGACCATGTTCAAGGCCCTGGACCTGGACTGTGGGATGGGGGTGGGGTGGTGAAGAAAGAAAAGCTTGTAATCCCAGCACTCATATACTGAGTCAGGAGGATGGTCTCAAATTGAAGGCCAACTCGAGCTACAGGATAAAACCCTATCTTTAAGAAATAAAAGAAAGAAAGAAAAGGAAGAAAAAAGCTGGTTGGTGGTGGCACTCTCCTTTAATTCCAGCACTTGGGAGGCTAAAACAGGCAGATCTCAGTGAGGTCCAGCCTGGTCTACAGAGCGAGTTCTAGGATAGCCATGACAGTTACACAGAGGAACCCTGTCTTGAAAAACAAAAAAATAAAGAAGAAAAAAGCCAGGTGATGGCACTGTCCTTTAATCCCATCACTTGGGGGCAGAGATAGGTGATCTCTGTGAGTCAGAGGCCAGCCTGGTCTACAGGGTGAGACTCTGTCTCAACAAACAAAAGAAAGATTGAGTTCTTTTGTCTTTTTCAGATGATGAGGAATCTGATGAAGAAGCTGTGAAGAAAACCAACAAATGTGTACTAGTATGGGAGGTTGGTAATCTTTGTAAAACACTAAAGTAGAAAGTTAGCTAGAACATTTAGAGCAGTTTTTAGTACATACCAACTGGAAAGTGTGTTGGAAAATGCTGCTGTTAAGAATACAAATTCAGAATACACATTCTCAATTAGAAATTACATATTTCCAAGTCTGGATGTGAAAGGGGAGTAAATTATATTTCCCCCCTCTGGGTGTAGTGAAACATGCACTAGATCTAAGAATCTGATGGTGGACAGGTGGGCCTGGAAGTGTAGCTCAGTACCAGAGTGCTTCTCTAACATTCATTGGAATCCTGAGTTTGATCCTCAGCTCTGCAGCAAAACAAATAGGTTGCTGGCAAAGTGTCAATTAGCTATTCGATCTGAGTCAAACAGTATCAGATTTTATTGCCTTATCTATGAAATATGGGTGTTATTTGGTGTCCCTGATTTGTTGGTATACTTGAGAATAAATTCAAACAGGCCCCAGTTTAACTCCCTACACTCACATTGGAGGTGCTTACAACCTCCTAACTCCAGCTCTCTACCCCTTGGCCTTGATAGGTACTTACCTTCACATTTTTCTTATTTTTAAAAAAGACCGAAGAAAAAAAAGATATCTTTTTATATATGAAAGCTTTGCCTGCATGTATATATGTATGTATCTACATCACATGCATGCCTTAATGCTTGTAGACACCAGAAGATGGTGTCAGGTCCCCTGAAATTGGAGTTACAGATGGTTGTGAGCCACCATGTGGGTGCTTGGAATAGAACCTGGGTTCTCAGCCAGAGTAGTAGTTTTTTTTTTTTTTTTTTTTTTTTTTTTTTAACCAGGTGGTGATGTGCATATCTTTAATCTCAGCATTGGGGAGGCAGAAGCAGGTGAATTGTGACTTCAAGGCCAGCGTGGTACAAAACTAGTTCCAGGACAGTGAGGGCTGTTACATAGAGAAATCCTGTATCAAAAAGTCAAACAATTAAAAATTAAAATAATTATTATTTTTTTTAATTCATTTCTATTTTATGTATGAGTGTTCTGCATGTATACTGCATTGCCAGAAAAAGGCGTCAGATCATAGTCTAGATAATTGTCAGCCACCAAGTGGTTGCTGGGAATTGAACTCAGAACCTCTGGAAGAGCAGTCAGCCCCTAACCAGGCTGTCCTTGAACTCATAGAGGTCCATCTGCTTCTGCCTCCCAAGCCCTGAGGATTAAACGCCTGGCAGGAAAAAGTTCTTAAGGCTGGTAATGTTACTCAGTATAGCCTGCTTGCCTTATGTGGCTGACAATATAGGGTCAATCCCAGTACTAGGGGCAGAAAAAGGTGTTTTAGTCTCTGGTTCTAAAAACAGTAACAAAAAAAAACAAAAAAAAAAAAAAAAAACCAGAAATCCATATATATAACCATGCAAATATCTGTAACATGGGGTTATAATTATTTTATCATAGACTCATATTTCAGCGAGTCATGTTGCTACACAAATGTTAATTAGGTCTCTCAAAAGAATAGTATGTCAGTACATCTTGAATCCCAGTGCTCAGGAGCAAAGGCGGGGGAATCTCTGTAAGTTCAAGGCATGCCTGGTCTGCAAGAAAAAGTTCCAGGATAGCCAAGGCTACATAGAGAAACCCTGTCTCAGGGGGCAGCAAAAAAAAAAAATGTCTTAAGTAAGTCGAAGTGGTAGATTGCTTGCCTAACATGAATAAGGCTCTAAGTTAATTCCCAGCACTGGAAATGGGGGGTAAATTAGAAAGCTTACTAAAATTCTTGTCTCCTGACATGATATTGTATTAGGATGCTGAGGTAGGATTTCTAATTCAAAGGCAATGTGGGCTAATAGCAAGTCATTGTTTTCAAATAAGTAAACAATAAGATTTTTGCTTCTTACCTAGGGTACAGCCAAAGACCGGAGCTTTGGAGAAATGAAGTTTAAACAGTGCCCTACAGAGAACATGGCTCGTGAGCATTTCAAAAAGCATGGGGCTGAACACTACTGGGACCTTGCACTGAGTGAATCTGTGTTGGAGTCCACTGACTGAGACTACTGCTAGCCCTTGTGTCTCCTTTGCCTTTGTTTCCTCGTCTTCTCACTCTACTTCCCGACCTTCCCCCACCTTGAGCGTGTGATCTCAGAACTGTGCCAGGCAGTGGTTGGGGCAAAGAGACTACCTTGTTTACCCAGTCAGCCTGGTGCTACCCTTCAACCTGTATGTGCATATGATTAAAGAGTTATTTTTAAATTTAGTGTGACTTTTTTTCATATTGCAATAGGTGTTAGGGTTTGGGTCTGTGGGTGATTTTCCTTTTACCTAGGATCCCAGCAGTTGAAGTCTGTAAATATCTGACTTCATCCTGAACACAATGATGAGTACAGTTTTCTGGAGCAAGTAAATCAGAAGATGATGTTAAGCAGTTTTTGGTTTTGTTTTTTTGAGACGGTGTTTCTCTGTATTGTTTTGGCACCTGTCCTGGAACTAGCTCTGTAGACCAGGCTGGCCTCGAACTCACAGAGATCCACCTGCCTCTGCCACCCTAGTGCTGCGATTAAAGGCGTGCCCCACCAACCTCAGGCTCTCTCTTTTTTAAAGATCTATTTATTATTTATACAGTGTTCTGTCTGCATACCAGAAGAGGGCACCAGATCTCATAGATGGTTGTGAGCCACCATGTGCTTGATGGGAATTAAACCCCTGGAAGAGCAATCAGTGCTTTTAACGTCTGAGCCATCTCTCCAGTGTCCACAGTGTGTATTTCTTCACCTTCATAGCTATAGTAAGATGTGTTGTTCTCCTAAGGTCGGGTTCTAGGAAATCAGTTCTTCAAATGGGTAGTGATATTTTGAAATAGACACGTAGACTTCAAGGGTATTAGTTTGTAAACTTAAGACAGAATTCAAGAAATGAGCTCACTTTTTCACAGGTAGATCGGTTAATGCCATATGACTTCTTTCTTGGCAATATGCTAAATATAAACTTAAAGATTTTTGATGAGTTGGGCAGTGGTGGTGCACACCTTTAATACTAGTAAATCCCAGCACTCAGGAGGCAGAGGCAGGCAGAACTCTGAGTTCGAAGTCAACAGAGTCAGTTCCAGGACAGCCAGGGATGCACAGTGAAACCCTCTAGGGAGGAGGAGGGGATTAAGATAGGGTCTTATGTAACCTAGACTAGCCTCAAACTTGCTATGTTCAAGGTTACCTTGAACTTGTTACCCTCACTTGACCTCCCACATTCTGAGATTACAGCCTTTATTACCAAGCACAGTATTATATATTGTTAGGGATATTGAACTTGGGGTTTTGTGCATACTAGGCAAACACTATACCTGCCAACTTCCATCCCAGCCCCTAACTTAAACTAAAAGCCAGGCATAATGGTTAGTTTAGGTCTGTAAACAGCACTAAGGAGACTCTCAAGAGGATCCCTGCAAGCTCAAGGCCAAGCCTGATAAGGATGATTCCAGGACAGCCTGGGCTAGAGTGAGACCTGTCTCAAACACCCCCTGTACTGATTACTTTTTTGTTGCTGTGATAAAACACCATGACCAAAGTTTGTTTTGGTTTATGGTTTCAAAGGAGGAATCTGTATTGAGGAAGGCCTGGCAGCAGATGGACGAACAGAAAGCTGGCTGTCACATTTCACCTGCACACAGCAAGCAGGGAAATCTGCAAAACCTTCAAGTTTGAACCCCAATGATACTCTTCTAGCAATGCTTCAAGCCCTGAATTTTCCATAGCCCCCAAACAGTGCAGCCAAGTGTTTAAATACATAAACCCATGGAAATACTTCTCAGTTGAACTGGAACACTCAGAAATAACAATTGGAAAAAAAAACCTTAGCCCACTTTTGCCGTGCATAGTGATGCACACAAGTGTATGTCTGCACTTGGTGACAAGTGGCAAGAGCATCAGAGTCTGAAGGGTAATCGGGGTTCATGATAAGGTCCTATTGAAGAAACAAACAACATATTTTTGTCTTATGAATACAAAAAGGCATGATGGCACATGCCTTTAGTCTAGCACTCGGGAGGCAGAGGCAAGTGGATCTCTGTGAGTTCCAGACCAACCTGGCCTACAAGAGCTAGTTCCGGGACAGCCTTCAAAACCACAGAGAAACCCTGTCTTTAAAAAAACAAAATACAAAATATTTACCCCCCCCCCAAAGTGGAAGTAGCCATATTCCTAAGCCCAACCATATTCTTTTCTAAAAATAATATGTGGACTGGGAATGTAGTTAAGCAAACGAATAGAATGTACAGACTTGGGTTTGATGTCTAGCACCCCATAAAAGTGTGGTGCACACTACTGGAGGTGGAGACAGGAGGATGAGGAGTTCAAGATGATCCTTGAGCTACATAATTTAAGTCTGGCCTTTGATGTATGAGAGCCCTGCCTCAAAAAGCGGGGGAAGCCAGGTGTGGTGCACACCTTTAATCCCATGACTTGGGAAGCAGAATTGGTAGATCTCAGTTCACGACCAACCTGGTCTACATAGAGAAAGAGGTCCAGGCCAGCCAGGACTACAGAATGAGACCCTGTTTCAAAATAAAAAGACCTGGGAATGGTAGTGTGCCTTTAACCCTAGCATGCAGGAAGCAGAGGGCCATCCAGGCTTAACTTCGAGGTCCCATTGAGGGGGGGGGGGGTGTTTTTTTCAAGACATGGTTTCTGTGTCTGTAGCCCTTGATGTCCTGGAACTCACAAAGATCCACCTGCCTCTGCCTCCCAAAAGCTGGGATTACAGGCTTGCATCGCCACCACTCAGCATGGGACCTTATCTTACCTCAGAATGGCCCATTTTAGCAAGTACAAGACTGCCTGTACCTGTCCTACCATTTCATGTTGCCTACTGCAACTGTGACAAGAATGGCTCCAACCAAAATCCTGCGGAGCACCCACAACACTGCTACATGGGAGGGTCCTATAAAGTAGTGCTAGAGTAAGTAAACATGGAAAGACAAGCGTTCGGGGGGAAAAGGGGTACAGTCTCCCTTGTTTATATTTCTTTTCTGATAGCTGGCCTAGAACTCAAGATCTTCCTGCATCTGCCTCCTGAGTGCTAGGAATATAGATATACCATCGTATGCAGCATGGGATGTATTTAAATGAAACCCATTGCTTTGTACAATGAATGTACTCTAAAGTAGTAAAGATCAGTGACTAAGAGCCCTTGCAGAGGATCTGGGTTCAATTCCCAGCACCCATATGATGGATCACAAGCATATTTGATTGCAGTTCCAGGGGATCTAATGCTCTCCTGACCTCGGGCACTGAATGTGGATAGTGCATGTATATGCAGGCAAACATTATTGCATGTGAATTAAACTAAAATGCAAATTAAAATTGTAAAGATTAGTAATTGTGAAGAGCTAATGTCAATATGTCCAAACAGAATGTTCAGGAGTGAACCCTGAAGAAGGTAGCACACATCTGTAATCTTACAATTTAGGAGGCTGAGGCAAGAAGGTCATGAGTTTGAATCCAACCTGGGCTACATAGAGCCCCTGTGTTTGGTTTGGTTTGGTTTTTTGAGACAGGGTACCATCTGTGTAGCTGCCCTGGAAGTTACTCTGTAGAGCAGGCTGGTATTGAACTCACAGAAATCTGCCTCCTGAGTGCTGGAAATAAAGGTATCTGCCACTACCACCCAGCCTTCTTTTGTTTTTAAAAGAGGTCAAAATGGTACTGCTGTTCAATTCCCAGGACTCACAGAAGTAGACTAGGTTGATACAATGTTATGAAAATATCTCTTACATTCTAGAAGACTGGAACATTTGCGGGACCTCATAGCCAGAGCTATTAATATATCTTGAGGTCACTTAAGACTGATAACCCACTCAGACTGTTTAACCTGTCTTTAAGAGATATAGCAACCAAGCTAACTTGCCTTAGATTTTCACATAATCATCTTTTATGTCCCAAGCTAATATATGGCTGTAAACTTAAATTAGGTACTCTTCCATTCCCATGACCCTTAGTACATGAGTATCACTTGCTGAAGGCAGCAAAAATAGAAATTGAAAGCAGTCTTCTAAAATGAATATCCACCATAAATGTTGTAGCACAACATTTGGATGTTGGATGATAAACAGTGATGTTTGTAATACTGCTATCTGAGTCAGCTGGGGTCTTTGGAGTTAATTACATAATCCCTTGGAAAACTCTGTTGAAGGTTTCTGGTAAATATCCCATTGTCCTTTCCCAGGTGATGTTTCCCATGCTGTTCAGTACCGACAGCAAAGCCCTTTGTCAGAGATTGTCAGAGACAGACACAGAAACAATCAGATTCACAAGACAGCCTTCAGGGAGGCAAGAGTCAGACAGGATGGAAGACACAGGAAACATGAGGTAGTGAATCCAAATCTGGACTTACTTTTAGTTAAATGACCCCAGGAGGGAAGTGCTTTCCTTCCTTCCTTTCTTTTTCTTTTTTCTTTCTTTTCTTTTTTTTTTTTTTTTTTTTTTTTTTTTTTTTTTTTTTTTTTTTTTTTGCTGGCCTCGAACTCACAGAGATCCACCTGCCTCTGCCTCCCAAACACTGGGACTAAAGTGTGCACCACCATTGCCCGGCCTGTACTTTGATTTCCTAATGCAAAACCAACACATTATTGGTAACTTGGAGTTGATCAATGTGTTTACTTCACACGAAGAGAACAACGGCAAGTTGTCCTCTGACCTCCACAAGTGTGCTGGGGCATGCATGAATGCCTCACCCACACAAGTACAAAGTAATTTCTTTAAAAACCCTAACATAGCCAGGCAGTGGAACACTCAGGAGACAGAGGCAGGAAGAGCTCCCTGAGTTTGAGGCCAGCCTGTTGTACAGAATGAGTTCTAGGACACCAAGTCTAAACAGAGAAACCATCCATGTCTTGGAAAACAAACATACAAACAAGCAAAAACTCAAGTAGCAGGAGGGATGGCTCAGCAGTTGAGAGCACTGATTATTCTTCCACAGGACCCAGGTTTAATTCCCAGCACCTACATGGCAGCTCACAACTGTCTGTAGCTCCAAGTCTGGAGGATCTGGCATCTTCACAAACATGCATGCAGGCAAAACACCAGTGCACATAAAATAAAAAGGGAAAAAAAATCCCAAGATACAACTTTTTAATGATATTGATGTGTCCTTTGGGGTAAAGGGAGAGGCGAGGCTAGCAACTACTTTTTGTTTGTTTTTTGTTGTTGTTGTGGTTTTTGAGACAGGGTTTCTCTGTGTAGCTTTGTAGACCAGGCTGGCCTCCAA